GTTGCCGAAATTGGGCCACAATTTACGTTTTATACGTCAATTCCATTGAAATGACACCCGGCAATGCGATCTGTTCGTCCTAATTCACAAAACTCGCAAAGTTACCGAAATACCCCCAGATCACCCCGTTTCCCCTACCGATCTACCCCCGGGTATCCAGTACCCCCACCCTAGCATCCCTACTATTATTCTACCATTTTTCCGTATTTTTATCGGCCACCGTTCCATCCCTATTCACCCTGCCATCATCCCTGCCCATATTCCCCATTTTATCCATATATAACCCTGCCCGTTTCAGCGTATACGCCCTACCTACCCGCTGTACCCATTCCCCAGCATCCCTACCTCATCCCCTACCCCCTACCCTACCCCCAGGACCACCCCGGAACACCCTACCCCGTCACCCTGGGCCACCCGGCCACCCAGAATCACCCCCCGGCCGCCCCAGTAGCCAGCCCAGTACTGGCATTTATAATTCTTGGGCCAGAGGAACCTTTGTAAAGAATCCTATCCTTACTAGCAGGTACCTTTATAAATGGCTTACATCTACGCCTGGGTAGAAAGGTGAGTTAACTGAGCCACCACTCGCGCGCGCTGTCCGCCTCGTGTCTGATCGAAACATTCTTTAGGACACGTCGTCGGCGCTTGCTGTAGGCTCTAACGCTTTGCCGGTTCCAGAGCCGGCTGTCGGTATCACGGCTCCCTCTTCCACGCTGTCTGGTTCTGTAGACGATCGTGAGGCCAGCCCGTTGACTGGTTGGTACCGTTCGAGCTTCAACTCCATCGCGTCTTCACTGCTGACATGGCAATGACATAGACCTCCAGACAACTACCCCCCCGTCCTCGCAGACTGTTGTGGGTGAAGACTCCTCAGAGATTGTTGGCGGTAAGCATCTCTGCGGTATTTCATGGTGTTTGATGAGAGTTCCACCTGTCTCACTGTTATGCCTTCCTGTACATATAGTCGCGAAAACCTCCTCGGTCCTTCTGGTCACTGGCGAGGACGCTGAACTTGGTGTGTTTTTCCAGTCATACTATTCCTACCGATATCTTGGACTGATGATGTACATCGGACATTCATAGTGGCGCCGCCCAAGGCGGCCACTAGTGCTCTTGATGACGCTGCGGGACGTTTGCCAACGAAACAGTGAGTTCTCTGGTCCTCTGACTTCATGCGATCATGTCCATCACAGGCTGACTCTGAGGTCTATGCATCTCAAGGACGAGCACCAAGGAGGTAGCTTGCGCGGTGAAGACTTTCATACCGTTGTACAGCGACAATCCCAACATCCCCCCTCCTGGCAGGTACGTATCAGTGAGTGATGATTCGCGGTTGCGTCGTCTGATGAGGACTGTCACCATTATGCTATGTCTTGACAGGCCTGTTGACGCTATCACCGAGCAGGAGAAGACCGCCGAGAATGCACAGTTGATGGCAATGGAAATGGCCATCAGTGAGGATGCGAATGAGAGGTGTGTCCGCTGCACGCGTTCCCGCGGCATTCGTGCATTACACTGACTTCGTATCGGTCTGTTTAGAGCCATTGCGCACGCGCAGGACGGGACTGACGATGGCAACAATGTGATGACCCCCATGTACGTCCTTCCTCATCACATCAAACGATGATGGGCTTTTTTCTGACTGTGACTCCGTGTGCTTCCCGTTCTAGCTCAACGATGACGCCTAACGAGGGCTTGAACGCTACTGCCTCTGGTGGGACCAGTGGTCCACAGGGAGGGTGAGTGTTTTTGCTGGTCAGCGTTCCGTAGAAAGCTCACACTGATGTCTTCTTTTTGCAGGGCATCTACCAACAGCAGCAACATCCCTATGGGCTCCACCGCCCCCGCTCTCGAGTCTGAGGTAGTTGTCGATCACCTCCACGGCCTGCCTTTGTTCACGGGGAACGTCTCCTTTGCGGCTCAGGACTCCGTGTCCTGGATACGCCAGGAACGAGCAAACATGGTCGCCATGGCCGGTGCCGCTCCTGCGCCGTCCACTGATCCTGCCGCCCTCATGATCCTCGGTCAGGTCGCCTATGACGACTTTTGGGCGGACCCGACTGCCGGCTACCGAGGGCCCACTCGTTTCACCGCCGCGATCACCGATGCGAAGGCATCGCTCAAGCTTGTGATGCCCTCTACGGCTGCGTTCCAGCCATTATGAAAGACGGCCGTCGCCAACGTCGACAAACTCTCGGCGGTCATCGTGGTCCCTGGTCAGGCCTACGGTGGCTTCTTGCCGAAGACGAACTGCAAGTTCTCGCACCGTCCGTTCTCTGTGCGTACCCATCACTTCATCTACCATGGTGTCGATTCTAATCCTTCTGCCCTGTAGGCCAAGGAATGCTACGATGAGGACGACGGTGATTTAGGTGGGTCGTCTCTCTGTTTTCATGCATTCTCCCTCAATGATGATGGCCTCCCTGTGAGTCCAGTCGAGGACGTTTTCAGGTTGGAGAACATACCGACCAACAGCACGAATGCCGCCGCGGAACTCAAGGCCATCAAGGACACCCACGTCTACAACCCCCTTCCCGCATACGACATCGACGGTCGCGTCATCTTACCGAAGGACTATCGCGCGAAGCTTCAGGGTGCCATAGTCATCTTGACGTTCGGTCTGAAGCATTACTACATCGGGCCCCGTCCGGGGAGTGGCAGTGGTAGCAACATCTACGTTGCTGACATTGTCAAGATCCGCGTTGTTGAGGCGGCTAAGCCCCGCCCTGTGGCTGCGATGAAGAGGAAGCGCGTGCTTACTACGGACTCCGATGGCCTTCTGGCACCGGCGAAACTCTCTCGTGCTGCTTGATAGCATGCCTCTTTTTTCTTGCGTCGACTTACAATGCGCGCAGATTTTCGTTCTTCTGCTGCTTATACCCTATTCGGGCTTTACGTGTTTTTGGCCCGCCGACCGTTCTCAATTGTCTCGACCTTACAGACGTCCGTTCTTTGCTCTTTTATTGACAATGCGCGCAGATTTTCGTTCTTCACCAGCTTATACCCTATTTTTGCTTTATGTGTTTTTGGCCCCCCAACCATTCTCAATTGTCTCGACCTTACAGACGTTCGTTCTTTGCTCTTTTATTTTCACGGTCAGAGTGTCATGTATTTCATTGCTTACTTTACTGCCGCGAATCATAATGTCTGAATTGGTCCAAATATTCTGCATGTGATTGAAAAAAGTTCGAAATTACTAATACAGGGCTTGCTCAATTCTCACTGGTCAATCGTCAGTTCAGTTCAGCTGGGTGAACTCGGCGACGAGCGCGGATTCCTGAGCGCTTGTCATGTCGTTACATCAGAAATACGCGGCAAACCTTGGGTTAAGGTTAAGGCTCCAACCATTTACTATACATGTACGAAAATCCCGTACATACATAGTATATAGTATGTACATGTATAGTAAATAGTATATACCTCATTAAATGGTTATAAATGGATAAATAATACATGCTCTGGGTCTTGGGTTGAAGCAAGTCTGGAATGCTGGTGATAGTTTTTGTTGTTCAAGATATGAACTTCACCCAGACCTTGCCTAAGCTTAACCTGTCTTCAGGGAGGATAGGCTAGATTTGAACCCTTGTCAGGCAAGGAACTTTCACAAACAACAAATATCCCCTAGGCTAGGCGAAGCCTAGTGTTCACCACGGGTACACAAATACCCGTGGTGTTTTGGACCAGTACCCGCACGGTACAGGTACGGGTTTGGGTTTGGGTTTGACCTTCCCAGACCCATGAATCTTGATCACCTTTCGATCAATGCTTGAGTGGTCTGTGGTGTCCCAGAGCACTCAAAGTGGTGCTTCTGTGTGTTTGCATATTTATTTGACATTTTGATGAATTGATTGACCAGGACCCAGGCATAAAACCCACGGTCTTGCAGGTACAGGTCCAGCGGGTATGGGTATGGTAGTCAACCGGTCAGACCCGTGTCAAACCCTAGCCAAGCTGTGTTAGGATCATTCTTGCTAATGCACTAGCTACTGATAATACTGGATGACTATCAGTCTCAATCTAGTGTCACGACCACACCAGAACAACCATATCCTACAAAGAGGGGTTGCTGGCAGGCGATCTCTCACTCAGAAACACACACCAAGGGCGAGGAAAAGGTTGTATAGGGGGGAGACTGACGATCTCAAGACTAGAGTACAAAACAGGAAGTAGGTAGGTTTATATACTAGCCAGAACCAAACACAACCAAACCCAGGCCACAGTGGCACAGAAACTCGGAAAAGTGTGGCCCAACTGTGGCACCCACCAGGAAATAATAGAAAAGGCATGGAAATGACAAAAGGTCATGACATCTAGGACTGTTCACGAGGGATCGAAAAAAATGCAAGGAGTCTTGTCCTATCAAGAATTAACCGAAGCCTTCGCTATTAAGTTGACAATGAAGCACCTAATATTATCTTAACTTTTACCATATTCACTCTAAAGACATTGGGTAGCTTGAAGATCTGAGTAAAGAGGAGCACTTTTATCAGGTGCTTTATGACCTTCCAGCACCCTGCTGAATCCACAATCTTCAATACTTTTTGGTTCATAGTAAAACTGTATATACCATGTACATACTATTTATGTACAGAATACACCGACCCCCATACATACATGTATAGGGTATATGGTATTAACCATGTATACATAGTAAATACATTAAATAGTTGGAGTCTTAGTTAAGGTTCAGAATATATCACTCTGGATGGTTGTGTGATGGTTTTTATCGCCAAATGAAGAAATGGCATTGGCGGAGGTTGTGCTCACCATCCGAGTTCTCACTGGTTTCAAACATTGTGGTATGGCACCGTGGACCTCTCACACAGTGAAAGAGGTTGGGGTCTTGGTCTTGAGGTATTCGCGCCTGAGAGAACGGTACCCGCCTGCCCGTCGAGGGTGCGGATGGTATTCCAAGAGGTACGAAGGTTACAAGTAAGATACCGAGTACATATGAGAGTCCATGAATATATATACGAGATCTGGCTTGTTTGCCAGGAGCAAACAAGCGTGCGTGATAAGATAAGATCGATCGCCCGGCACTTCAAGATATATAGACAGCAACGCGGAAGTGGTGCCTAGGATAGATGTGGCCCACTCATATTGAGTGCCACACTGTATCCCTAGCCGCCCCTTACACACAGCAAGCCAAGTTGGCTGTGGAGCCTTGAACTGACATTAGCACCCACGAAAGGGGTGTTTTATATCCTATACAGTAATTCCCGCTAGCTTGAACATACGTGTAAATGCACCCAGTACGGTATCTGGGATATTGTGTGAATAAACCAGGGGATGGGGTTTGCACGGCCACCCGCATGAGAAACTTCATCAGCGGGACACAGCCACCCGCGCTTACCGCCGAGTTGACCAGCTGAACTGATCTGACGATTGACCAGCGAGAATTGAGCAAGCCCACATGGTTCCTGTAATGTTATCAAGACGTCGTCAGAACACCGCTATTTTTGAAGCAGAAAGATGAAGTTCACCGTCGCGGGCAAGGACATTGGCCAGGTGCGTTGGGGATTCCCATCCGATCTTGGAGGCTTTGACGAGCGTCAACCCGAAGACCAGCGCGTCAAATCCTAGGACTAAGGCCCAAGGAACGAGGTACTCTGGATGACGCTCATCAATGACCTGCGATATCTATCTCTGATATTCGAGACTTTGTTGGGCAATGGTGACCTACGTTTAGCCCTGGAAGGTGAGAAGGTTAGTCTGTATGCGTACCTGAAACGTAGAAGTCTCAGAGCTTACTGTGCTTCCGTGACCATGGTATTGCAGCCGGGTACGCCTGGGTCCATCAACATCGGTGGCAGTCCTTCACTTCCTGATATAACAATCCACTGCACAACCAACATCCGAACGATGTGAGAAAGTTGCAAAGTACCCAGGTGGAAAATACAGACCATGGCTATGGCCAACATCAGACAGCCATAGGAGATAAGGGTGCTCAATACTGCGCGATGGTGATTGTACATAGCCGAGACGCGAAAGATGCAGAGCACTGTGAATAACGCCGTTGGTCAGATAGGCTCTTCATAAGATAATAGGCCAAGCATACCGCAGACGACGATCTGAGTGACAGAGACATAAGGTTGGTTCGCCTTCTGTAACTTTCGGCAGCTGAACGACATGCACTAGGTGAAAATGTGCATCATAGTTTTGTAACACATTACTCACAGCTACGAAGTAATAAGTGTCGAGTTCATACTGAAGAGGGCGCAGATGAGAAGTACGCACCGCGAAATTGACAGGATTCATGAAATCCTCGATGGCAAACAGGATGTTACCAAGAAGTGACAAGTAACGGTTCAGAAAAAATAAAAAGGAAGGCCATGTCAGGCGATTTCGGGGTGGCCAGAAGTAGCGAACTTCTGAGCCCAAAGTCAAAACATAGTCGTAGAAGAAGATCGCTACAGGAGCTCGTTAGAGATAGATGGCGTCGAGGAGTAATAGAGACTGTATTTACTGAAATAAATGGGCGATAAGGTGAAGTTCGTGTTCCTAAGGTCAAAAGTCAGAATGAGCGGCGGAGAGAACAGGGTACGATGAACGCACAATTGGGACTGCAAAGGTGCCCCATCCATCACAGCTGGCGAATGCAGTTCAAGCAGGAAGGTACACAGTTCATGCCTCTTATGAGACTAGTTTTTCTATCTGCTGTGCGGTGTATACACATAGGGGCGCGAAGATCCTACGAACAAATTCTTGATACGAACATAAAGTGGAGGTTGACTCTCAGGAGGGGCGGTGTTCGGTTATGGTCTCGCGTTCGGTTCGCGTTAGGTGACGACGAATATAAACATAACAAAGATGTGATGGCCAGATAGACTTGTACTCGAGATTCCAAAGACATCGACATGCACTGTGGAGACAGCGTCTGGTTGAACTCAGGCTTGGCCAGTAGTCGACCCATCGAGGCGCGTACGCGTGCTGGCATCAACGGATTACTTGCGCCGACCATCTTGACGACCAAAGGGAGATCCTATAGATCATACGGCGAGAGGCTGAGTGCAACCAGGTATAGTCTTCTTCAGAGTCCGAGAGCCTTTGTCGTTGTGGAGGTGGGTGGCAAATCTCTTGCACGGTTCCGCCAATGTGCGTATATAACCCTGTATTGGGGTTAGGTCTACCGTGACGAACGTTAGAAGGAAAGCGCCACTGTGGCGTACTCACTCGCACCTCGTCGGGCTGACAGAGCTTGGTTGCTCGTCATACGGAGGTAGCGCGATTTCGAATTCACATCAGGAAGTAAGACTTACCTACCCCGAGCCCTCAAACAAGACTCAAGACGAGAATGGAAATACAGCGTCATACAGAACCAACAGATCCTGGCAACAAAGTGTTGAAAAACATAAAAATACCGTACAACACATCCGAGGTGACATCCACCCAACGGCTCTCATCTTGGCTTCGAGCCGTCGTCTACTCACTACACAATAAAAAGCCAATGTGTGGGTATGTTCGATCGCGGAGGCAAAACGGCCAGAGCAGCGATCATTGCTCGCTCGTAAACACAGCGGCCATGCCCATCCCGCTCCCGATACACATACTCGTCACGAAGATCTTCCCGCCCGTCTGCTTCGCGATGTTCAATCCTGTCGCGATCTGACGGGCACCGGCTGTGGAGTAACATTAACATGACGACAGAAGGGGAGACGTCAGCGTCGTATACGACAGGGCATCAAAGGACGGGAAGATGACAGAGGACGAGGAGAAAAGGGCGGGTGGATATGGGAACGAGGAACGAAGAACGCACTGCATCCAAGCGGGTGTCCCATGGCGATTGCACCGCCGTTGACGTTAACTTTCTCGTATGGGATGCCGACTGTGTCAATTGAGTAGATCGCCTGACTGGCGAAGGCCTCGTTGATCTCGAAGAAGTCGACGTCCTATGCGAAAGCATGCGTGTATCAGTGAACGAACTCAAAGAGAAAAATACAACTTCGAATCGAATGGCGTGGCGATACGATAGATGATCAATTGGTCAAATAGATGGATGGATGAAGCAAGGAATATGGAGAGGGTGTAAAACGTACATCTTTGCTCAGACCAGTCTTTTCGAGAACCTTCGGAATCGCGAAGGCGGGACCAACACCCATGATATGTGGTGGGACGCCGACGACCTACAGAACAAAGAAAAATCAACACCACATAGACAATAAAGTCGCAAGAGACAAGGGTCGAGCAAGTAAGAAGTCCTTACCTGAGCACCAACAAACTTGCCCAAGATCGGTAGACCGAGCTGTTTCGCGACAGATCTTCGGGCGAGGAGGACAGCAGCAGCACCATCCGACACCTGCGAAGCGTTGCCTGTTCACATACGCATGCCACAATATACGCCACACAACCAGGCAAAACAATTCGAGACAGTAGAAAAGCACGATCAGCTACCGTGTCAACATTCAGACAGAGGGAATCAGCTCACCAGCGTGAGTCGAGCCGTTTTCATCGAATGCTGGCCTGAGTTTGCCGAGGCTCTCTGCAGTGACGCCCGCTCTGACACCATCGTCCGCATCGACAATCACTGTCTTCGCGTTCTCGTCGTCGCCGATTTTCACGGAAACGGGGATAATCTCGTCTTTAAATTTACCAGCCTGGAGACGCACATGACATTTGAGATGAGCGCGAGTCGGCGAGTCGTGACAGATGGACCAAGTACCTTCTGAGCCTCAGCAGCCTTTTGGAAACTCCTGGCGGCGAACTTATCCTGAGCTTCTCTTGAGATACCGTACTCCTTTGCAACATTCTCCGAAGTAATTCCCATTGGAATCAAGCAGTCCTCAGCCGCCGGATGTGATAGGACTTCGGAGGAGTAGGACGCAGGCTGAGCAGCGGGACCGTAGCCAAAGGTCATTGACTCGACACCGGCACCTACGTAGGACAGCATTCGAGCTGAATTAGGACCGCTCTTGAACGATTCAAATGCATAGAGAGACGTACCAATTCCAATATCAATCTGTCCCGTCGCAATCTGCCCTGCAATCTGGTTCACCGCCGTCAATCCACTCGAGCATTGCCTGTTCACCGTCGCTATTGGGGTTCCAATCGGGATTCCAGCGTGTAGTGCGGCCATACGTGCTGCTGTCGCGCCTCCGCCTGCGGGTAAGACATTTCCAACCGAGATATCTTGGATGAGAGCCGGGTCGAGCGGTTTGGGGAGGGCGGTGGTGTATGATGCGCGTAGGACGGCGGAGAGAAGTTCTTCGGGGTGAGTGGACTTGAAACCACCTTTCCTAGCCTATTTTCGTGGGTAAGGCGAGATGATTTATAAGACCACTGGGTAGTCGTAGGGAGTAAGACGACCACGCACCTTGGTCATAGCTGTCCGAACAGCAGATACGATGACGACGTCATTATCGTTCTTTGCGAGAGCAGCGCCCTTTCCGGTGGGCGAAACAAATTGTGTAATTCTTTCGGTAATAGACGACATATTGTGCTGGACGATAATAGAGAAAGGACAAAGATGAGGGGAGCTCGAAGTGAGGATATCAGACTTGGTGGTCGGTTATAAAGTGCGGGGAGTGCGAGCGGGCATGTGAAATCGCGTTGCCTGTTGACCGAGGGCCACATTTGAAATTCGTATTCACAGGCAAAGGACGAGAAATCAGACGCCACACTACACAACAACCGTCACCTCCCTTCACTTCGCTCGCTCTCAACGGCCGTCATCATATACACCGCCGTATATTTCTTTTCATCATCTCGAATTGCTTTTGTTAATGACGCGATATGGCTTCGTCCGGTCGACCGAACGATTGAGTTGAGCTTGAGCCAAGCTTGAGTCCGCCCTAGTACAGTACGATGGTTTCTTGAAGTTGGACGGAAGATTGCCTGAGCGCAAAATATACCACATTATCTCCTCAGTGGCGACGTAGTTCCCCGAGAGATAAAGAAGTCGTCGCCATTTTGGAGTATCTATGTAAGGCTATAGCCTGTGTTTACTTTCTTCATCTCGACGTCAACGTCTGATCTCGGGCAGCACATTGGCCCATTCGAGATATGCCGTGGTAGTGAAAATCTTGAGGTGAGTAACCAACTATTTTTTTTGTCAGGGAGCACTCCGCAGGCTGTAAACTCCTCCCCACACCTCCAGGCGCCCGAAGGGTGGTTTTTTTTCCAGTGCGGTGCAATAGGGTGCAATCTCGGCGAGTCTCAGAACGAAACGGTCTGATGATGACAGGGCTGTGAAGCAATGTCTCTGTCCCAAGAGACTGATATACCTTTCTCGACTGCACGGGTTGGTCTGGGTGCGCGACAGCAGGCTATCGTAGGATGCACGGTGTATCTTTAGTCGGGAGGAAAGCGTATTGCCACAAGCATTGGCCTAAAAACTATACACTGGCAACACACAGCCTACTGACAAGGTACCTGTGTCAGAGGTCGGATGAACTTACTTATAAGTACTCGACATCGGTATCGCCCATGCTTACCCTTCTGCGCCCTCCCATACCTGCACGGGGCCATTTCTTCTCAATTATGCGCAACGACGCGGAGCGGCAATTCGTGAGGCTCATCTTCGATGCATCAGGAAAATACGCCAGCTGGGACCCAGAAGTCCCTATCGAGGTCGGTGACTATGGCCGTATTACATCGGGCAATAAAGGCTTTTGGTTTTGGCGTAGGCGTAAGGGGATTTTTCTGAAGGAGGGAAACATTTACAAGGACGGAAAGGCGAAGGATTTCGAGATTCCGTCACCGAACGAGCATGGTGTTCAAGCAGATGGGACAGGCGTGGCATGGATCGTCTCGCAGAACGCGGTGAAGATTGATTTTGATGTTAACCTTTCGACGTACGTGGGTCTCTTTCATTTTCACAATTATCTTTGTTTCTTCTCTGCTTTCTAATAGAAGGCGCTCGTACTAGAACAATCCCAGCTTTTGCAGAGTGCGGAGTAAAAGCTGGATTTCACTTCTTCTCCTCTCCCGGTGCGATCCTCGCCATGCAAAACGACACCATCTCGACCATTGACCCACCTGGATCTCTTCGGGAACTGTCTAAACATCCCACAATGGCCAACCGTGTAATCGTGTCGGAAGTTCACCGGTGTTCTTCCTACATGCGCGCTCTCACCTCATCCAAAGATCGGGACATATTCTGTGGTCTATCTGCACAACCTCCTGCCCCAGTTAATGTAGGCGAGGTCGCCGTTGAGGGAAAATGGGTGACCAGCTACTCTGCGGGGAACTTTCGGTCGAAATTGGATGCGAATGGAGAGCGGAGCTTTTACCCCCTTTTTCGGTTGGTATCGTTCAGAGGGACAGATGTGACGACTGGTTTGAGAGGCGCAGAGGAGGAGGACCTGACACAATCCCTGCCTGACGCTGTTCCACCATGGGACATCGTTGATAAGCAACGAATATCGCGGTCAGTCTGTTCCTCATTGGATAGCCTCATGCGTGTCTAAACATGGATGTGACAGATCTTCATTTTGGCGAGGGCCTCGGTGAGACTTATATTTCCTCTACTCAACGTTATTGTTATAAACACTTTGCAATAGGTCCCGGACCACAACTCCTCGGCCTCCCACTGGACAACAAAGCCTTGAAGAAGAAGATCCCGATGAGCGAGAAATATGAATGAAGCACCATAGCTTTTCCACCGTGACGACCTCATATTATTGGCTTATCCGGGTGTATACACTGGTATGGTCCTACGGGATTTAAATGGATATGGAGTCCTCATCAGGCTCGTGTTTGCCCTCTAATTTGCCTATTGTTTCATGCAATTACCCTTCCGAAATACATCCGTTCCTTCGCTATGCTGGAATCCATCTCGTCAGAAATATCTGAGGAGCGACCAGAATACGTCTGATTTTCCGAATAAGCGAACGGCATGGAGGACTCGCATCTTGTTAATCCTGAGCCATGTAATATGGAGTAACCTTGCTGGTTTTGCTAAGACAAATATCGCTTCAGCAGGGGTGTTTGATCCCTTGTTCGTGATGCGCGAAGAGGGCGTACCGTACTGACGAATGGAGGTGGGATTTTTCATCGTCACGACTATTCAAAAGGTTGCCTGTCTCAACAATCGGGAAGAGAGTTTTGCACGATTCACGCACGTCCTATCGGACAGTGGTTCGACCTAAGCCCGAATCGATCATCCCTACCGAGGTTCTGTGTTATCGCCAACGGAGGCCTCTGTGAACGTCGATACTGTACAATGCTGATTTGGTTTCAGGTTTTATAGGCGAGAGGCATGACCTCCTTTAAAGCATGGTGGGCAGTAGGTCATTCGGCACATTGGTTAAATTACTTTTTCACGCATTAATCGTGCAGGTTCAACGTACACAAGGTTGGGAATTTTGTTCTCGTTCGGCTGCGCTCTCGACTCACGCACCCTATAAATGCCCGAGTAACATTGTGCCCTGAGTCGTCCAAGAGCGAAGGCTACATGGAAGAATACTATTTTCGTCGCTCATCAAAGTCTTCGGTCGTTCTATTAACTCGGTTACAAGCGACGACAATCGCTCATTCAACGGCAAACATACGGCATGGAGAGATTCTTTGACCGATCCTTCGAAGGTCCTCAGAGAAGTGAGCATAGTCGTCTTACATCTTCCTCTGTATGTAAGTGTTGTATGCGTATGAGAATAAATCCTGTGCAGCGAAGTGACAACGCCTTGATAAAAATACTAGTATAAACCCCTCAATCAAAGCCATGTAGCCGCACCCACTACCTTGTGTACTTCGCATGTACAAAGTTATTCACACACTCGGTATATTGCTCCTCTGAACCCCCGGTTTCTGATACCCGCCCTTCCTAATCCGGGTACTTGTGTCGTTCCATCTCTCGTACACATCACGCTCTGCATCGAAGTCGAACAACCATTCGGGTTGGGGGAGGTCCACTTCCGATTCCTCAGCGGAGGCATTGGAGGGCCGACGGTGCCATTTTTCGTGCGTCGATTCGCCAAGCTTCAGGGCCAAGAGAACGCGTTCATACCTGTGTACACAAGTTCCGGCGTGAGCAATGAGGGTATTCTTACCGGTAATCGATCGATTGGGCTGGAGGAAGTACGCCTTCTGAGCTAAGGCCTTGAACTCACCTGAGTGCTTCCCATGTACTTACCGCCAACGGGATGTCATCCTTGCCTGCAAGTTGCAGACAGGCCGCTAAAGCTACACCGTCTTCAACCGCTTGGGATGCTCCTTGCGCCGAGGTCCTACATGACCCATAATTATCATCCAACCGCCGAGAATAGATCAGCTCACCCCGAAAACCTGCACGAGAACGAACCATACGGGAAGTTCCAACGACGCCGGACGGGAAGGAAGAAACAGACGTACGGCAAGAAAGGATGAGCAGCGTCTCCAATGAGACACATCCTTCCCATTGGGCTGACCCAAGTCTCCATAGGCTCCCGATACACGATCTTCCAATCTACCATGCATTCGGGTGGAGCTTTGGAGATGATCGCGGCGCAGCGGGGATCCCAACCTCCACGAAGAGGACTGCATTCGCGAGGTGGGGGCGAAGGGTTGCGCTCGGAGGTTCCATTTCCGAGGGCAGAGGGGGAAGAGAGCGGTGAGTGTGGAGGGGTGACGCCGTTCGAATGCGAAGGAGTTGGAGGTAGAGTATCGGGGTTGATGAGCGCCAGGATATCTGACTTCTTCGCTGGGAATGACCACGATTCCTTGATATCTGCATGGTCACTAGATACGCCTAAGGCATCAACGGGCAGGTTAGGTTGCTGTATAAGGCGACAAGCGTACGGATGCATCAATATACAGCTCACGGCTGCCCCTTTCTTGCAGTTCGCCGCCAGAAAGTGCATATCTCGACCTACATCGAGCATCCACCAAGCGATTGATACAACACAGTTCAGTAGACAGCAAAAGCAAGACAAGCTGAGGTAGGACAAGGTCATGTAGAAGGGAAATCCCATACCGATCCAGCCGTAAAGAACGTCCTGCTCTCGTCCCAAGTATTCCGTGAGCGGATCGTCTGATATTCCAGCTTTGACGGCGTCGTACCAGACGCGATATATCGCGTAACCAGAGGAGACGGGTTTGTCTTCATGGCCCTTTTTTTGATTACATGCGTAGATGGGGGTGATGGCGATGGCGACGGTAGCGGTAGGCAATGTAACGGAGCCGAAATGTGGGTATCGATAGTGGGTGGATGGAATTCGTCGGAAGACAAAGAGATACGAAATGGAAAGACAAGAAAACAACAGCATTAGCAATTTTAATGGGAGGAAGGTGGAAAAGGACAGTGGCATGAGAGTGTTTGCGGACCACAGAAAATATGGCACAAATGAGCCGGTCAAAGACGGATGTTGTCGAGGAAAACTCACCAAGACTAGCTTCCTAGCAGCGCTCTTTACACCATCCGCACCTACAACAATATCCGCTTCCATCCGTCCTCCATTTACAACGACGCCTGCTCTTCCTCTTCCTCCCTCTTCGCCTTCAGCCTCAGCCTCGTAGTACTCTTCCACGCTTTGTCCGAATCGAACTGTGACCCCGATAGATTGGGCGTAGCGTAGCAGAACTTCATAGATCTCACCGCGATTACCGTTGTACTGCCACGAGTTGTACAGACCTTGAGGGAGGGGTTGGGTAGATACAAGACCGCCCGTGTGAGAGTGAATGTGGAAGAAAGAGGCGTGCGCGCAAAGGGCGCGAATCCTGTGATGAATCGATGCAAATGACGCATTTCAGGCGGATAGAGAATTCGAAGGGAGCATTCGAGGGTGGGAAAGGTGGACAGGGTCGTCAGTATGTGTAACCACTCTGCAGTAAGGAGGCGCGAGGAGGTGGTGAAGCCATATTATGTTCAAAAAAAGATGACCGCCAACGCACTTCTCATGTAAGCCCCATCGCATAAAGAATCGCCCAGTGTTGAAACCAAATGAGATCATCTAACATTCACCACACCAATAAGGCACATCAATATCAAAGAAACGTCAGTATTAGGAGAAGAACTTACATCTCCCAGCATCTTCAGTTGTTTGTACTTCTCCAGCACAACTACCTTATGTCCCTTCCTCACGCTCTCTATCGCACACGCAAGCCCAGCGAAGCCACAACCTACTATGATTATGCTCACGCCAGATGAATGAGGTGGAAGCGTTTGTGCGTAGCCCATTAATCCAAGTGTTTCTGCAGACAAAGACGACGGTATGGTCGGAGATGTATTCAACGTTGGAAAATCTGAAGGCATAATGTTGTGCTTGGTCTATGAGCTAGAGCGGCAATAAGTACATGCAGCGCGTTGTGTCATGGTATATATCCTGAAAATCACCAATTAAACGACTGACCGAGTGCGACCACCGGGCATTTCTCGCTTGAAGATCCCAAGGATTGAGTTTTGTGGCAGACAAGATAACGCGGCACATCGAGAGAAGCTGAAAACCTGTACATTTTCAGCACATGAAGTGCGACGGTCGGAACAGATCAAACGACCAGATAGCACCATATGTATTCACGAAGACGGCAAGATTGGCCGCAAGAGAACAAGTAGCAGAGGAAAGCCTGAGCAGGAAAGACCGATACTAAACGGCGTCACATTGGGCGAGCTCGTGGTGATAAGAATGACAGCGAAGGCACCACCGAGAGCACGATGGTTAACGTCGAGGGTGAGATGGCTCCTTGTGGCATGGTTCGTGCGTCCGATGAGCGCACTGTCGACGTTTTGGGGCGCGTCGAAGGCCGATGAACGGCTGGCTAGCGGCCAAAAATAAGTTCACATGGACCTAACCCCAGATTGGGGTTCTCTAGAGCCCGAAGGTCGGCGTTTTGAGTTGGCTGCGAGTTGTCTTTTCTCTCCCACCCATTGCGCTTCCGCGGACTACACAGCAAGGACGGTATCGTCTCGTCCTAGCAAGCATCCTTCAAAGTTATTGATCTATCGCACTCAAAGCTTCGTCCACCTCTAGCGTTTACTTGGGGCCTTCGCCTGCCTTGACTCTTTGTATGGTCTCCGGCGCACTGACTTCATCGAATATACACCTATTTCCGACGATATCTGGTACTACTCATGGGATATCAAGACATGCCAGACAATCTCCATCGGAGCATATCAACGCATCAGGGACAATCTCAATAAGGACGTTCTTTCCGGACCGCCTCGGAGTTTTAGGTATCAGCATAGTGCTACGACGAACCAATCTTTACCTCGGTGCCAAGGGGTTTTTCGTCAGTCCATCAGCCATGGTGAAAAACAATGGCCATCTGCATACTCAATGCATCGTGGATGAAGGTGTTTGTTTCAATCGCGGTCATCGCGCGAGACCAGACAGACCATGCTACTCTTCATCTTCGGCTCGTGCGTTGTTCCACGCTCCTCGCTGGCAACTTCACATATCCTCGGTCAAAGGCATTGTAAGCTAAGCCGATCACCTGCGACCCTTCGCATATGTTCACTGTAGTGCACTTCCGCATGTAGTGGCTTTCGGCAAGCATGCTTGGAGTATACAGGCGTCATGCATCATGTTCAGGCGCGGTATACCGCAACGATCTATAGGAGAAGCTCAGACGCACCTGCTCGCAACATACCCATTCCTTCATTTACCCCGGAGACACAAACCATACTGCACTTCTTTCATCTGTCAGACTTGCGGAAGACTCGCTTTCATGCTTGGCCTGGTTCTCGTTGTGCACTCACCTGGTCATCACCGTCGCATCCTCGATTCGTGGACACAGCGGCCATTTTTACTTAACGCGTTGAAACTGACTCAGACCTTGCACACCACTTCTCCACGGCCATGCCAAGTCGCATACGTGCCCTACGTCCAAGAAACGACTCTACTGCTTGTGTCTACTACATCCCCAACGTCATGTCTCAGCAGCTTACAGGCGGCGGAAGTCTTCGCCACGTTGCGGACCTGACTTTCGTGTCACTAAACACCGTTAGGAAGGCCGTCTGCAGAAGGGATGACCTACGAAGCCGTCTCCTAATTTATGCCGCCAAGTGCTGGATTCCCTGAGCTTTCAAGGAGGTCTTAATAGCCCAAAATATGGATAGAGCACATACTCCCTCCGTTCTATATGATCTTCGGTCTTAGGGGTCGCAGTGAAAGCAATGATACTGGGTTTCGTCTTCTTCGTGTGATTTGACCGTATTTCATGGTAAACTATCTGCCGAACGTTCTTCTGTGGCCTCTAGGAGTGCAAGTGCTTGGGGTATAGGTGTCGCTTTGGCTTATCGTCACGCAAGCGTTCTTAACGGACGTCATGTTTCCATCCTACTCATGGTGCCGTCGGCCTCTATGCTAATGCTCCTTCGCAGAACACGCTGCTGCCGAGGCCAGTCTGTGATTCATACCCTACGCCTCGATACATGAAGCACTAGCCCTTGCATGCTCGCGTTGGATATTAGGTCTTCTTCACACCGTTGTCCACGATGAAAGCAGACGCGCGTTGTTTGAGTTCCTCCTCTTTACCTGCCACGAAGACAGACATAATGAGGTTTGGTGCTATAAAGATGATCGCTACGCATACAATTCAATACTGTGGACCTGAATTCTCCATCTCATGCCTGCTGATCCTGAGCGACAGTTCGTCAGGCTCATCTTCGACGTCTCCAAAAAGTACGCCAGCTGGGATCCAGAGGTCCCTATCGACGTAGGCGACTATGGACGTATCACGGCCGGGCGGAGTGGACTATTCTTCTGGCGCCGCAAGGGCACTTTCCTGAAAGAGGGTAACATCTACGCTAACGGACAGGCCGAGAAATTCGGCATCACTCTACCGCATGAGCATGGCTCACAAGGGGAAGAGGGAGGCGTGGCGTGGTTCGTTTCGGGTAATGCAACGAAGATCGACTTCGACGCAAGTATTTCGTCGTACGCTGTTTTTCTATTTCTTCTCTTTACGAGTATACTTATACAGCTTTCCGAATAACTACAGAACCACACCAGCCCTTGCTAAATGTAGCGTCAAGGCCGGCTTCCACTTTGACTCTTCTCCTGCTGCCATCCTCGCCATGCAGAACGACACAATCTGGACGATCAATCCTCCCGGAAGCCTCCGCCTCCTCGCCAAAGAACCCTCCATGTCCAACCGCGTCATAGTCTCCGAAGTCCATCGTTGCTCGTCCTACATCCGCGCCCTCACCTCCTCCAACTCTCGCGACCTATACCTCGGTGTATCTGCTGAACCTCCGGCCGCGTCTCCCGCTAAGGGGAAGGCGGGTGTGGAGGCCAGGTGGGTTACGAGCTCTACAGCGGGGAACTTCAGGTCAAAGGTGGATGCGAAGGACGAGAGGAGTTTTTGCCCGTTGTTTAGGTTGGTGACGTTTAGGGAGACGGAGGTTACGACTGGGATGAGAGGTCCAAAAGAAGTGGATGTGGGTCAACCGCTGCCCGATGCTGTTCCACCATGGGATGCCGCGCCTGTGACTAAAGATACAGAGTGAGTTTTGTTTAGATCGGGGAAGTCTGGTGAATGAACGTACTGACGCCACTCCTCACATTATAGCAAGCGTACGGATAATAGTAGCCACAGGTGAGCTCAAAATCGCAGCGTCTTAAGTAGTGACATTGACGAAGTGCATACCGTTCCGTTCAGGTCCAGTTCATGGAGCAGGTTTCGTCGAACGACGCAGACTTCTCGTGGACGCGAGAAGAGACGTTCCATTGCTCAGACAGTCGACTCTGTTTGATTTCCGTTGCAAACAGTGCCATTTTATTCGTCTCTCAGCTCTTCAGTCTCTACCTTTCCGGAATATGTATCTCTTCCTCTTGTTTCCTGGACAGTCTATCGTCAACCCTACGCAGCCTACTTACTACTCGTTCAGCTTTCGTACTCTATCCCTTATTTTAATTTATATGTTGGGTTCTTGCATTACGATGCGTCTCTTCGACAATGACCTTCAAATGCAAGCCACTGTGGCCGAGGGACTGCGGTACGATGCGAACGTGTAAAAATGTTCATCATTGTCAGGAACGTCACAACACAACTGTTTGACAACCACGGGATCGCTAGGCAGCACAACCCTTGCTTAGACCCTATACGCACAGATAAATACCAACACGATAGGCGTAGCCATCTCTCTGTTCGTATCGGTCAAAGTCTATAGGAGACTCACGCCTACGCACGCTTTCGCAGCTTCTCATTCCCTCCACTGTTTATTTCTCCGCCCATCGCCTCTACTTCGCCTACGGGCCCAGTTTATTTCTTTATACTGTCATCTCGACGTCATGAACAGCACTTCAGAGAATCTCGTGAAAATGTCAGTTAATACCGTTCTCGCGAAAGGTCACTTCTTCTTTCCACCTTCCAAATAAATCATTAGCCACCGATACATACGGACTGTCTGTAAAAAAGCCATGATCAACGTACTTGATCGTATCTGTAAACGCAAATGCACCGTTCCTTGACCTCTTTGCCTCCAACTTGACGCTTGCCTTGAAAACACGTTCTGCCGTCGGAAGCCTCAACAAAACCGCGAAGTAAGCGGGGCTCGGAGCACCACAGCGAGATGTCTTGTTCTCCTCCATACGAACAACCATTTTAGATCCTCCGCTCCCTTCGGTCTCGAACTTCGAGTAATAGTCTATTGTAAATGTCCTGCACCATTTTCCGGAAAGCGATAGATTTGAATTGAAGGGGATGGCACTGAGCTGGATAACCGAGCCAATCTCGGTAGAGAAGAACACGGGGAGATGATTGCCTTGCGGTTCTGCCAAAGTCTTACTCGGCAAGACACTCTATGGAGACCTAAATTAGACATGCGTAGGTGAGAAGAAACCACCAGTTACCTGGATAGATAGCGCTTCTGATTGATCGCTGTGGAAGTCAAATTCCATGACACAGCTCAAAAATCTTTTGTTTTGACCCTTGGCTAGGGTAGTTAGGAAAGCTAAAGCACAATAATGGCATTCCCTTCCTTGAGCGTCGGTGACGGTTTGATACCTGAGCAACTTAAACATCAGGACAGGTGCAGCCTAACATCGATATGAAGTATACACGAACCGTATTTCCGTTTGTTCCACGGAAAGACGCGTGCGCCCGACTTTAGATGATAGGACTCCTTTTTTTCCCGACCCAAATATATCTACTATTTGTCTCCTAGCTGTATAATTGATGTCTATCATGGTGACATCGAATGCAAAGACAAAGAAGAATAGTACCTGGAAGACTTGGAGATGGGATGTCCGGTATCGCTCCGTTGCCCTCAGGCTTAGGCCATTTTAGCGGTGTATTCGATGCTTCCTCCGTATCTAAATATTATGTTACATGCGCCGGGCATGTTAGAGAGCATGAGGTTACCAACCTGAAGCGTCATGAGAGACCCTCATGTCCGATGAGGGTGTGGCTACGCGTTCCTCATGAGCCTGATTCCCTGTAATTGGTTCCCTATCAGGTGAAATCGAATACAAAGAAACATAATCGTACCGGGAAGACTTGGAGATGGGATGTCCGGTATCGCTCCGTTGCCCTCAGGCTTAGGCCATTTTAGCGGTGAATTCGATGCTTCCCCCGTATCTAAAGATCTTTTTACATACGCTGGACATGTGAGAGAGCACGGAATTACCAACCTGAAGCGTCATGAGAGGGCCCCATGTCCGACGAGGGTGTGGCTGCGTGTTCCTCTAGGGTATGAGGCTGATTCCCTGTAATGGATGTCTATCATAGTGACCTCGAATACCAAGGGGAAGAAAAGTACCTGGAAGGCTTGGAGATAGGATCTCCGGTATTGCTCCGTTACCCTCGGGGCTAGGCCATTTTAGCGGTGGATTCGGTTCTTCCTTTGTGTCTAAAGATTTTGTTACATACGCTGGACACGTTAGAGAGCACAGAATTACCAACCAGAAGCGTCATGATAGGCCCCCATATCCGATGAGAGTGTGGCTGCGCGTTCCTCTACCGTATGAGCCTGATTCCCTGTAATTGGTCCTCCATTCGTAACATCTTCCTTGATGGCGCGAGTGAATACAAGGACACACCTTTGTCTGACTCGGTTACCATCGTCAGGTCCGACAAACTCGAGGTATTTTCTTTGAGGTCGCGAATATATTGTATACGCGAGTCCACGGCATTCATTCCGTCGGCAAAGGTGACAACATTTACTGAAGCACGTAGAATCAAGTAAGGTAAATACACCATATTGAAGATAAGCATGAGGCGAACTGACCGTTATTTGCAATCATCGTTTTATGCATCGCTTTACAACGCTCCCATTGTACTGGAAGTTGTGTCTGGAGTACGGTCACATCATCTGAACAATTTTATGGGTGAATCCTATGTACGGGAGTGCGTTGGATTCGCTGACCTGAGAACACGACCGCGTCCATATTCTTGATACTTCTATGGTACAAAAATATATTAACTGTCAAAAGGTAAGTGATGCATGGCGTAGAACCGTACGGAGTATCACGTACCATTCGATGCAACTAAAGACCCGACAATTCCCTTGTATTTTACCCAATCTTTTCGTAACATACTCAGCAGATATTGTACCTCCATGACATACGAAAGGGAGGGGGGCATAAGCATGGCCATTGGATGAAGGGCTTAGGGCTTTATGCAACAAAGAAGCGAAGACACGTTATTTGGAACATGCAGTGTCCACGCCAACTAAGATGCGGAGCGGGAGAAGTTGATCATTCTAATTAATTTCTCAAATAAAGATCGCGGCCCTTACACTGAATGCATGCGAAGGCCTGGCCGATGTAATGTGACAACACTATGGCAAAACAATGGATCATAAATGGAGATTCCGGTGAGACTGTTCTTTCCGTCCCTATAAGTAAATTGAACACATGGTAAATGCAGGAACCCGGAATCTCCTCATGGACACCTCATATAAGATACGTGGAAGTTTTACTCCTGCCATCCGCTAGTACCGCCCACAACCCCACATAACCTTCCGATAACGCGACCTACTAGTCCTTAGGATGAGCACAGTACACTCCAAAATTAACACCGAAGGAGCAGAGATGAAGACTCAATGGGAAGCGTATAAAGGAGCTCTCGGCTCTGTTATTGCGAGCAACGGTACGCACCAAATCATGGATCGATATTCCTTGCATCACTGAGCCCTGTCCTAAATTAATCCTTTAGTTCAAATCGGCGCGTATATGAATGCTGTGAAAGAGATGGATAGGGCAGTGGCCAATGCGATGAGTGGCGTAAAGGGTATGCTCCATTACCTGTCCGTCAGATAGACCATTCGCGCTTCATAAACATACTTAGGCGCAAACAAAGATTTGTTATACAAGTGGTGTGCTTCGAAAGCCACGTTCTCGAGCTTTGTACTCGGCAATGGTAAGTACCTATCTCTTTATAAACATTCAGGAACCACGCTAACAGTCAGATCCAGTCTCTCTTGAGGCCTACAGTAGCCAAATCGATGCTATGGATATGCGCGTAGAAAAGCTGTCAGGATTGAAGATGCCTTAGGCAAAATAAAGAGGGTCGCAGTGGAGTCAACCTCGAATATTGCAGCCGACCAGCCGAATCATTTTTGAGCGCGAGTCTGACAGCTTTGTGTAGCTTGGGTGTTCATTTTCCGTTTGCGCTCTATGAGATGCGGGTTGCGCGTATTGTATGATATATCCGCAATCTTTTCGAAGTGGGGACAAGGTCCACACTGGGAGTCAGATTCCAGATTCCGGCTTTCCGAAGCATATCTGTCGCTCTGGAGAGATCCGAAAACCCAAAGTAGCAGACGGAGATGAGCTGTACGCGTAGGAGAGCCTTTAGTACATACAATAGCTGTATTTGGCCGCTTTAACTAGTGCACTCCGACGCAAGGGATTATAGACACCGCCCAGAGACTTGGACGGACGTCGATTAGAGAAGATTTTGAGGGAAGGTAGCTTCACGTCTGTCTACATGTTCTACACTGGATAACTTCCCGCAGGGAAATTATATGTTTATTTGACACTGATTCAACGCAATCGATGCTCACTAACGCTCGGAGAGGAACATGGCAGCCAACCATTGAGCTGCGATCGTCATTTCTGAGCTTTGCCGAGCGACGGTGATCGTGTCGACTCAACATATCCTTTTCTCCGCGGGAAGTCATCCACTATACGAACAATAAATTAGACATGTACTCCTTGATCCACATCTATTGCATATCGGGGATGCCACACACCTACGTTCATATTTCATGAAGCCTTATGAGAGTGGATGACTTCCCGTGGACAAAATGGTATGTTTATTCGACGTTATCACCTCTCGGCAACACTCGGAGATGGAGACGGCAGCCAACTGCAGCCAACCATTGAGCTGCGATCTTCATTTCCGACTTTTGCCGAGCAGCGATCGTGCTGAACCAATCCCGATGTATATATATTTTACGGGAAGTCGACCAGTGACAGGTTATCCACTAAAAGCACTATTGCTGGGCAGATGTATTGTCCTTTAATTTTGCACAGCGTCCGGTCCCCCCCAAAAGAACTTCCATCTGAATATCTGACTAAGATGCTATGAGGCCATGCAAGGTGCAACAAGCGCACGAGGAGTCAAAACTATGAAGCAGCGCCAGCAAGGTTGCTCAATGATGAAAACTACGTACTAGTCCGCAATATGATCGCTTCAGAGCCCACCAGCGAGGCTAAGGTTTAGCCCAGACCATCCGAATTGCATTAGTGGGACCGGATGTCTACTGCTGTCGACCTACCCCCTTATTTGGTGTTCTATTTGAGTCGTTGATGTGCGTCAGGGGAAGCTGTTCAGGTACTGACAGTAGCTCCACGATCATGTTCGGAATAGATTACTATAGGACACAAATATTAGGGCTGAATATCATATGATAGTCAATAATTAGGTAGTCCAATTGAACACGGTAAGAAATGTCTCAGAGCTCGAGAAAGCTTCGAGTCTTCCTAAAGCTCTGGAGAAGACTCTGAAAGGTGCTTTGTTTCCTACCGGCTCCACGGAATCAAGCGTGATCGAAGGACATCAAGCGGAAAGGGCACTTAGACAAGTTTAGAGTGTGAGAAGAACGCTAGGGGCGTGTGGTCTTGCTGCTGCTGTCCTCGTCGATGGTGTGACAGATAACGCAATATAGCCTCTTCGTTCTTCGACTGATATTTCCGGATATTGCCTTCTATCGTTCTTCTAGTAGAACTCTCGTTAAATATAGGAGTTTGCGTGGGTTTCTCCGCAAAGCATTAATATACGACAGTGGGAGCTTAAGAAGACGTGTTTATGGCGAGGCAGATGTTTTAATGGACGACTTCCCGTAGAGAAACATTATATTTATTCGGGATTGATTCAACACGATCGCTGCTCGGCAACAGTCGGAAATGAAGATCGCAGCTCAATGGTTGGCTGCCGTCTTCATCTTCGTGTGATTGCATCGAATAAATCTATCATTTGTCCACGGGAAGTCATCCAGTGTCTCAAAAGGACAAACTTCTGACAAAGGGACGAGTAGAACCAGATGGTATCCGGTTAGTTTCCACTATGTAGCGGCACTGAACTGTGTCATACATCTCTCAAATCATAATGGATATTGCATGGCCAGTCGAGACCATATAAACTCAGTCTAGGATTCAATGTTCATCAATGTCGAGCGGCATGAAAACATGGAATTCGTGTGGCACCCGGAGCTCATCGCTGCCAAACCGAATTCTTTGTGGCGGCCAATGAGCGGCTTCGCCTGTTAAAACCAGATTTCTCGGATTTCCCTGATGAGCTCTTTACGGACTAAGTAGATACGGAGTGGAAGATGGCGGTAATGGCAGATTGACCAGAATACCTCAGTACGGAGAAGACGCACCTGATAGCACATGTTGTTCCTAACTCTGCTCCAAGCCTTCATAAAGACGCTGCAATAGAGACAGTAGGGAGCAAGACCGAATAGATGCACACCCGTGCGCGTCATGGGACATAGAAGTAGCAGAGAAGATGAGCAGTAGTAGCAGTGGACGCAGCATCTAGGAAGGGAACTATCGAGGGTAAGAGTGCAAGGGGCTCGTGTCGATTGGTGTCAAGCCTGTCAAGCGTCGAGAAGTCAAAGGTTTTGACAGGCTTAGACACCACTTGCCCCGTGAGCCCGTTAATTTGTGCTTGGTAGATGTTATGAACTTTTTGTATTTACTATAAATATATTACTATTCTTACCTGCATGTCCATGTCAAAAGAAAAAAGAAAACACCCTTGCCACAAATGCCGCGGCCGAGTCAAATCAGCGATGGTTTGAATCGGCTACCGGTCCGGCGTTCTGACTTACGCCACTTCGCTCGGGCCACAGTACTGATCTCCATCGAGATCATCTCCTCCTTGTACCTTTTCTTCCTCTTCGAGTGATCTTTGCTCTTGTGCTGCTCTGTAATGCTCACATGATTAGCAATGTACTCGATTACTGAGCCATTTTCTTATCCTTGGGTTTCTATTTGTTACACTTGGATGTTGCTTAGAAATCTCTCTTTCTCATTCGTTGGCTCTTTCTATGGCGACATTATTGACTCATTGTACTTATTGCGCTTTTCATATATAATGAGAATCCGCGCGCGACGAAAAAGAAAAGTGGCGACGAGAGGTCGCCTACGAGCTCGCTCGGAGCGTATCGGACCGACCGGCAAAGAGCCCGAGGAGGTCGTGGGTTCAAACCAGCGTGTTGCACTCATGCGGCCTCAGTGCCGGTCATTTTCCCTAGGTCTCCTTTACTGGCCAGAAAGCCCTGGTAATTTGGAAAAGTTATCTAGAGGTAATAAAACATTTACTAGGACATTAAAATGGAGCACAGTCCACCGTCATGACTTTGCACTGGCTTGGTCTGCCTGTGGCTTGAACCCGCGACCTTCTCCGGTTCATTGCCGGTCGGTCCGACGAGCTCCGAGCGAGCCCCAGAGGTGACCTCTGGTCGCCAACTTTTCTTTTTCGTCGCGCGCGGATTCTCATTATATATGAAAAGCGCAATAATAATCGTGGTCATTCATGATTACTATTTTATTCTGTATCTACATGTATAAAAACTCGTAGATATACTGGAATAAAACCCAGACTTGTTCTGGTCTGTTTCCTCCCTTGCGCACCTCCTCAGCTTCGTCCTCATCAGTCAAGCGCGACCTAGAGAACCCTAATCGAGTCGTTGACAGTAGATCTGCTGGTGCAGTCCTGAATTCTTCGTTCCAACATCGTCCCCGCGGTCTGTGATTTCTCACTGTACGACTCTCCATCGATGCACGTTGCGCTCAATGGGTTTACATTTATGGTGAAGCGTTATTTTGACCGTGACCTCGGACCGCGCGTGTCATGACCGCTGTCTATGACACGCCTTTTTTCCCTTATGTAATTCATTTTCCCTCGATTAGCTCTACCACATTACTCTCGCCACCACCTACGAACCTTCGCGTGGGTCCCATGACACACTCACATTTTCCCCGGCATTTATCCTATTTTATTTCGTCCTCTCAACCCCATCGAACCCGCACAGAGCGTCCGTGAGATTCACCCGGCTCGCGCGTCGCGTCCAACTTCTTAAGTCTCAGACCGCGCGAAATGTCTCCTGTGATATGTTCCCTATCAACACACGGAGGAATGAGTACCCGCATAGACCAATACATGCCAAGGAGACTGCTATAATTTTCGGAGAGTTTCTACGATTTTATCTGAGCCACGCAAGCCATCCGATCGCGCTACGGAAGCCGGCACCGAGCTACCGGTTCCTGTAGAACAGTTCGAACTCCGACGCGCGACATTTCCACACACCTTCGGGCGAAGCTACAAGTCGCTACACTGGGACGTTCGACTCCAAATGAAATCCTAGGCTGTACTATCAATCACTGGCTTTCGATCTATCCAAAAATCGCAGAGATTGGACCACTCCTTAACTTACGACGGGACGTTCTCCACCCAACTCGAGCCAGGGCCATCAGATGAGACTCTAGCTCGTGTTGCACGATCGTTAGTCGCTCAAACGCCGATGATTCGTTATGGAGGGTTAGCTATTGGCTTGAAGTGTTCGTCTACGTTGTGTCCTGGTTTCATCTATGCCTGAGAGGCCGAGGATAATTGTATAAGTTCGTGTCTCTGTACTGTCAACGACTCGATTAGGGTTCTCTAGGTCGCGCTTGACTTGTTGAGACGAAGCTGAAGAGGTGGCTAAGGGAGGAAACAGACCAGAACAAGTCTGGGGATTTATTGTAGTGTAGCTACATGTTTTTATACATTCAGGCTTAATGAAACTACCTAAGCATGAATGACTCGAACTACTAAGAGCAATGAGAGAATAATTGCGCGATTTAGAAAGCCAACCAATAGAATTGAGAGCCTTCTAAGCAATATCCAAGAGTAACGAATGGAAAAGCAAGGATAAAGAAACAGATCAGTAAGCAAGTGCATTAATAATCATGTGAGGATTACTGAGCAGCACAAAACCACAGAACACTCGAAGAGGACAATAAGGAACGACGAGGAGATGATCTCGATAGAGATCAGTGCTGTGGCCCGGGCAAAGTGGCGTAAGTAAGAACGTCGGACCGGTAGCCGATTCAAATCATCGCTGATTTGACTCGTCTGCAGTCTTCGTGGCGAGGGTGTTTTTGTTTTTATTTCGCTCATAAATTCGTAGGTAAGAGTACCAATATATTTTATAGTACTACAGAAAGTTCATAACATGTACCCATTGTCCTCTACATCTATTCTTCCTATCCCTTAGCTCGTTCTTTGTGTCTCGTTTTCTCGATTCGTTTTGGCTACCTCCCTTTGCATGCTACGAGTACAGTACACGCGTCTCTCAGTGTTTCTTCAAGCGCTCATCCTCAGTGTACATTTTATTTGTCTTCTCCTTTGACCTACCCTTCCAATATTCGACTTTACATTTCGTTCTACTTACTGAACTAGTGGTATTGGGACTCCAGTTTTCTGGATCGTCTATTCCTGGGCCTTCCAATATACTCATTATTCCTCTTACCCTTTTTCCGACCCTCTCCCTCTTATTTTCGTCTTGAGCCGTGGGGTAGCCTTACACCCGTATCGCCGGTCGTGACAGCGCGGGTCTTCCATATATGATCCAGGAAAGTTACTCTATAAGTATACTACTAGCAGCCAGCCCGTGCTACGCACGGGGCTAGCAGAGGAGCCGCTTGAGTAGAAAAGAAAGCTTGACGAGAAAAAACCTGAAGGGTCTTCCTCGAACTCCGGGCCGAGGCGCTATCGCGCCTTGCCCCTCCGTTCTCCAAAAGACCCTCCGGTGTTACATTCCCACAGGCTGACAAAGCGTCCTGTTTGGCATAAGAGTCCCACGGAGACAGGATTTTACACCCACAATAGCGCAACATGAATGGTGTCCTAATACTTACTTCAACTGCTATGCAGAGCTAGCAGAGCTCCGTGGTGCGAAGGCCCGCCACTTGCCCTCCACAGCGCATCCCCTATCTTAACTTACAACGTTGAGAAGTGCATTGAGCCAAATGTATAAAAGGCTCATTCTGACAGAGGAAAAATCCACCTCAAGAGCTGCCGCCCTATGTATCAACGTCGACCGCACTTAGAACTTCGCGCAGCGGCTCTGCAGCAGCGAACTTTCGAGAGCCTTGTGGTGGCGCTGGGCCACAGCCTTAGTCAGCTGATGAGTTGCCTCGGAACCGCCCGGTTTGGTTAGCCAATCATTTATCGAGCAGGTTTGTCTTTATGTTTGTCTGCGTACTGTAGTATAATCGACTAGCAGCAAGCCCGTGCTACGCACGGGGCTAGCAGAGGAACCGCTTGAGTAAAGTTGAAAGCTTGACGAGGAAAAAAACTGAGGCTCTTCCTAGAACTCCGGGTCGAGGCGCTATCGCGCCTCGACCCTTCGTTCTCCAGAAGACCCTCCAGTTCTACTTTCTCCCAGTTCCAGCTGAGGGAGTAAGCAAGATGTTATTACACCCTCCCTATGCACGAACCTCGAGCTCGAAGCTATTACATACAAGCTGCAGAACGACGTTGCGAGTGCGATGATTTCAGCTAGATATCCGATGTCCTAAACTTTGGAGAGCTGTGGAGGTGACACCCGCCCGCTTCATGACCACCTCGAAACCCGCCTGGCCTGACAGTACCAAGTATAGTTTTGCCTCAGACATGCCGCCATGGCCTCTGTCGTACAGTAGAAGCAACCAGTCTGTGCATTACCGCGGGTCTTTCAATATCCTCTGCCTCAGGAGATGCTTACGTCTGAGACCGTCAACCATCCCGAAAAGTTGTACTGGAGCTGACAGTATTGAATGAACTGCAATCCAGCAGTATGAATGAACCCCATACTCGCTCTGAGACTTGTCTGGAAGCCGAGAGATGAGCACAAGTATCGGAACATGATGACCGTCGGGGAACTTTCGAGAGCGACGGAACAAGTGCACGTGTACGTGGCAGTGCAAGTTCGGACCCGGCCGAGGCGCCCCAGCCAATCGGATTGCGTCTTTGTCGTTTGTGTCCGCGCTGTAGTATAGTAGACTAGCAGCCAGCCCGTGCTACGCACGGGGCGAGCACACTTGCATCAGGAAATATAAACGTTCGAGGTTTTCTCAACTTGAATTTCAGATATATTTTGCATGTACTATAACGCGAGGTAGAAACTACTACATTAGGTTTGCGTCAAAGGCGAAGACTGTTCCTCATGGGCAGTGCTGTTACGGGACTGCGACGTCCTCGGTTTCTTGCGCTGAGCAAGGGGTAGTACTGCATCTGAAGATTCTGCATCCGAAACCGCCTTATCGTCCGCAGGACTGTCTTCCGCACGTCTCTTCTCTAGGGCTCGGGGACTCGGAGTCGGAGACGACGCAGCATCAGTGCCGCCGACATGGAACCTCAACATTCTCCGTCCTTTCGGGGTCTTAGGCGAACGTTCTGAAAGATAGTACGATCGTCAGTTTAAACTCATACAGTAGCGATCCGAAAGAAAAGGAAAAACACACCAGGGGAAGATGAACTACTTGCAAGGGAAGAATTGACACCGAGGAAGTCTAGATGACGGTCTATGTCCACGACAAATCGAGTAGGTTGATCTTCCTCGTCTCGTTCAACTTCAACCAAAGGCGCCGTAAACGTGACTATGCTGAAAATATTGGGCAGAGCTTTCGCTCGATTTGGCCACTTTGACTTCTCAGCGATCCTCGCAGTAATTGGGAGCACGCCGTCATGGTCAAGGTTAGTCCATTGACGTGCCTCCATGAGGAACAAAAATGCGTCTTTCTCTACAGACGATACGGAACCAGATGCGGTCAAGAGGCATCGACGGCGACCGTAAGCCTTCTCGTTACGCTTCACATTCACGATGGGGATGATCTATGATAGTGCACATAGGTAAGGCTATCTTAAAAAAAATCTGGTTCGGGGGACGTACCTCAATGATATCTCCAGACACATCATAATCTTTGTGTTCGAAATCCTGAGAGAGAATGTCTACATCTTCTCGCATTTTAACAACCTGAATGCAATCCAAACATTATCGGCATCAGTACCATACGCAACCACTCGCAGGCAATTCAGAATTTCGACGAACCTTGGCTGTAACGAAATACAGATCACCATCTTTCTTGAAGTTGATGTTCTGGTCATTATAGTAGCGGAGTAGACCCACGCAGAAATCATCGTTTCCAGGTCCAACGTAGATCCCAGCATTTAAGAGCACAGTGCGAGGTTTATTCGGAAGACTACGTGGTTCCTCCAGAGACATGATACCCGTGAGATGGGCACATGCCGCAGGCGGCGAAGCTGAAGAATGAGAGGAGGAGGACATGAGGCTATTATCTGGACACAAGGATATCGAGCTCATTGTATTTATATTCTCAGATCACAGAGGAGACGTTGATACAGTGAAGTCAACGGAATGTCGTCGAAGTTACCAGAAAGGATCTGTCAGACAAACGAAACTTCGAGAATCAGTGGCTATGCCACTCATTGTACTGCGAGACGCTTGGCACGGATTCTCGGCACTACATGATTCTGGAATGTTCAAGAGCATTCGCCAGATGCAAGAAATTTAATCAGCATTAATTCCTGTAGTGCAAGCCGAACCAAAGTCGAAATACTTTCCCCAGTATCATCCCTGCCGTCGACCAACCAGTGCTTAAGTTGAAAGATGTCTGACTCGACTTCCGCAATACCTGTGCAAGACGACCTCAAGACTGACGGTGAGTTTTTAGTTTCTTCACATTTAATATGCTTGAAACTCATCAATCAGGATCAGATCATCGCAGTCACTCGGTCGATGTCAATCATGAGCCGATGCCTCCTCTGGAAGACTACGATAGCGAAGCAGAATCTGAATACAATAGTAAGTCTCCATCATCTGACATGTCCAACAATTCAGATAACTTATCATAATATGGACATGGTCAGGTCACCTTCGGCCCAAATCAATGTCGCGAGGCAAAAATCAAGTCATTGCCCAAGATGGAACACGACTTGAGGGATCCGCAATAGAGTACCAACGACGGGGATTGCTGCATAGGCATCTTCCGATATTCACCAATCCATCGGAGTCACAGGTTTCCCAAGGATCTAGGAGGGCATGGAGTGGACATTAACATTTGTATTATTTGTGGAAAGAAAACTACATCCTTTAGATAGTTCTAGAGAAAACCGAAAAAAATGATATTAATCGAGAAGAACTTCAGGGTAAACAATATTTGTTGTGTGGAAGGCAGAAAGGTCGTTCTCGTCAAGAAGCACTTTGATACGCTGACTGGACGTGGCCCGCGATAGCGCCACATACAGTTGACCATGTGTGAAAACGGAGGAACGCAGATCTAATCCGACATACTTCACGGACTGACCTTGAGCTTTATTGACGGTTATGGAAAAGGCAAGACGAACCGGAAATTGAAGTCGCTCGAGAACAAAGGCAAACTCCGCCTGAGTGTTGGAAGGCCTGAGCTTAATGCGAGGGATGAGTACTACTTCTCCGTCATGATCGCCCCCGAGGATCTTGACCTCAAGAACACGATTTGTCGATCGGAGAAGAATGGCCCGTGTGCCATTACAGACTCCACGGGCAGGAGAGAGGTTGCGAAGGAGGATCAATGGACAGCCATCCTTGACATGGAGCTCTCCAAGCGAGAGACCAGATGCATTGAGGGAGCGTAAGAATTCGGGAGGATAGCGCCACTCATCAGCGTCATCGTCAACAGAACCGGGCTCTTGGATGACGTGATCTATGCTGAAGTAGGTTCTCGCTTCACCCGGAAGGCGTGCGAGAATAGACTTGTTGAGTTCTTCGACTTCGCTGTTTCGTGGTGCAAGGATGAGACGTTCTTGGAAGTATTCGGGTGGGGGAACGGGTTCGGTTGGAGCCATTCCGGGGTAGACGAAGTCGATGAGGGATTGTGATGATTCGGAAACCAAATGAGAGGGCAGGTTGATGGTGCCGGTGTCTTGGTCCATATTGCGCCCATGACCGACATCCAAGAGCCACTGTGCAAATTCACGTTCTTCACCAGAGACATCAGTTCCTTCGAGACGCATATTCCGTCGAAGCGTGTACACGCGGAAATGACGCCACAGGGAAGAATGCTGAAGACACGCTGAAACAATGTCCTCACGTGAACCTTTAGGTACGACCGGCAGAGTCTGTTGGGGATCACCACCACACACAACTGTGACCCCTCCGAATGGTCTATCCTCAATGTCTAATACATCTCGGAACGTTCGATCGACAGCTTCAAAACAGTTCCTGTTGAATGCGGGAGCAAAATATGTGAGCCTTGAGCGGCGATGTAGATTAGAGCATCTTGCACTCACCTGTGCTGCATCATTGCCTCATCCCAAATGATGGCTCGAACACGACGAAACAATTCAGCGTGGCGGCTATTTTTGTCGACGTTACAGAATGAACCGTCCGTAAGATTGTCGATGGGGATCCGGAACATGGAGTGGGATGTGCGGCCACCTGGGAGGAGAAGAGCCGCTATGCCGGATGACGCAACACAGAGGATGATCCATCCTCTGGAGCGTACAGAGTGACAAAGCGCACGATAAATGAATGTTTTCCCCGTCCCGCCTGGTCCATTGATGAAGAACAGATGTCCTTGTGCATTCTCGATGGAACACATGACGTCGTCAAACACCAATTTCTGCTCAGCGTTGAGCTGCGAAGTAAGGTGCTCAGCTAACGCACGCTCGCGGTCAAGGTCGAAATTGGTATGCTCAATGATTAGGGGATTGCCGCGAATGATGTCCCAATCGATTCGAGGGAGAGGCATAGGGGGAAAGTCGGACAACGTGCAGGCGAATGGACGAAGGGATTTGTTGAGAAGAAATAGACCGTAATCGAAGATGTCTTCCTGCGTAGGGTTCTCGATGCCCAAGGTCCGCAAAGCGTACCGGAGATCATCGCAGATATGAACGCGGAAGTCATCCCATAACTTCTCAGGGTGTGTCGGAGAGCAATGGTAAAGAATGGTGGCAAACAGATCCCGGAGACGCGATCCTGTTTGCATCTCAGAGGCTTCCTGTAGGCATAGCCGCCATTCTCCATCATCTTCGAGCAGACCACGCTGAATACATGCATCGCGGAAGGAAGATGCGACACGACCATTATAAGTGCGAAGATCCTCGAAGGATGTCGCACCTGGGACAACTGTGAGCAATGTTCTGAGGTAGAACTGCTCACCGGCAGTGGGGGAAACAAAGTACATGCGCCCAATGCTGAACTGTGCTTGACGCACTTTCCAGCGGCTGTTGCCATTGTCCCAAGTGAAGTATTGTGGGAATTCTTGGTATGTGTACTGTCGAGCTTGCTCAGCGACCTGCCTTTGCCTTTCGTTCGGTCGAAAATAAGCAGTGGGATTGGCGTTGGCACGGAAGTACTCCGTGAGCGTAGTTTTCTCTGTGGCTGCTCGAGCACGCACAGCGTGAAGATCCTCGTCTGGATTGAATACAACGCGATGTTGACCTGCAGACGGAGGGCAATGTTCATGTCAATCACGACATTATGCATGAAATTGAGAGTGATGGACGAACCTGGAAGATGTATTTGGAGCCTTTGGACACTGGGCATTTGCCTATGAAGACCGTGCCCATAGATACGCCAATGTGCCTCTGAAGGACCAATGTACCGAGCGTCAACGTAGCGTGTGATTTCATCATGTCGGTCGATGAGCCGAGTCTGTCCGTTGCGGGTGCGAGCAATTTGGCCATTCGGTGCTGCTCTGATTTCGACTGTTGCACGATCTGAGCCCTTTAAGACATACTTGTGCAAGTATTTCAGAGTTGCGAAAGAGACTGTACATTCAACGTTTATGTGGCAACGGTATTTTGCAGAGAGGTAAGGATTGAAGGGGACAATCCACGAATTGTCGACCATATGACCACGAACTTCGTATGCACGCCCATCGTTTGGTCGTTTATATGCAGGATAGCCATCCTCTGTCATGACCGTGACTTCCTGGAACGCCTTCGGAAATTTGCGCTTGCATTTCCCGTTCTCAAGGCATTGCCCAGGCCGACACGGACCATGAACCATGCTCTTCTTGACGACATCGAAGAGGGCGGGCTCCCTTTCGGGATCAGGCCAATAAGCCTGTATCACAGAATCGATGTCTGCCGGTGTGTGAAGTCTGTCGCGTTCTTCAAGGAAGAGTAAAAGATGCATGTGGGGTAGACCGCGTTTTTGGAATTCAATGACATATATATAACCGGCTACTCGTCCAAGGACGTGTTTCTTCGTCAAATCATCGAGGATGGCCTTCATGTACAGCCTGAAAACACGGACAATAAGGTCGGGTCGGTCGGCAGCAGATTGTCCTGGAAGCAGCTCCTGTCGGATTTCGGGCCAATCAGGATTGCAGGTTACGGTGATGAAGAAGTCTATCTTTCGGAAGTATCGACCAATGGCCATAGCATCCTGATAGAGCTGCTGGAAATAGCGTGGACCTCCCGTGTAGGAAGAAGGTAGAATGACACGGCGACCCAGACGGTGAAGGCCGCCACCCTCATCACCATCAGGGTCGCCATCAAATTCTTGAACAGCATCTTCGAGACCACTGTAAAGTGCTGCTCGAAGACGAGGCTGGTTCATACGAAGGTAGCGGAGTTTAGCCTGGTCACAGGATGCCCATGCGTCGACGACATATTGTTGAAAAAGCCGTCCACCGTGCAAAAGCGTCTGAAAGGAACCTCTCCGAACCTGCAGCTGGTAGGCGTAAAAGCTCGCTTGGCTGACACGACCATTTGCCTCTGCTCCGTTTGTCGGATCACGCAAAGGAATGTTCCAGTGCCAGCCATCTGTGCCCCACGGGAAAAGTAGGACATAATGTAAGCAAGCATATGCGGGGTGGCCATCACTGATACGCTGGAGTGGGCCATGCCTCTTGCGTAGAATGATGTCCCGGCGGTCAAGCTCCTCCGTGCCATCGCCCGGGAGGATTGCGGCGATTTCACGGGTAGCGGGAAGGTTATAGCGACGTTGATCCCGAGCAGGATCTGCGATGAGACGGAATCCAATCTCGGGTGCAGCTTCGTGTCTGAGTACTTCGAAGGCATGCTGATAGAGACGGGCGTAGCGGTGCGTGACTGCAAGTGTTTCCTGAAGGAGCTGCATTGTCTGGCGTGACAGACCCTCATTCGCACGCATACGGGCATTCAATGCAGACTGCGAATCGTGGATATAGAGCTGTGCGTAACGTGGGGTGTGGCCCTGTGGCGGCAAAAGCGACCCAATATGATGGTATAGTTCGCCTTGTATACGAAAGACGTAAGGATGTCTACCGCCATCTCTATTCAGCTGTTCATCGATGTCAACACCCAGAGACGTAAATGCGAGCGCAGCGTTATAGCGCCGAATATTATCGCGAAACTCTCTAGCTGCAGCCGAATCGCTCGAGAGAAGGTCCATGAGAGCCGTGGGTGGATCGCGATCAGCAGGTAGAGAAACCTGGCCATGACCACAACAAGTACCAAAACTCCGTGGTGGAGACTTTGAAGGAAGTTCGCCAGGCCAATGAAGTGCACCACAATGTACGCATACTACCGTCATAGCACCGGGAGAGAACATAATACCAGTTTCGCGATATGGCTGCCTTCCGACAGGAAGCACACGCTGTGTAGTGTTGGTTGGTGGTTGTCGTATATATTGTGGTCTGGTATTGGTACCTGCTATGAAAATGGTGTCAGTTGGTTGGTTGATTTTTTAGGAAGGTCTCCAAACAAATATAGAGGTACGCACGATGAACAGCGTAGAGTTGAGCGGCTTCATGTACACGTCTTCTACGTTGGTCAAGTTCACAAGCAGTGGGTGTGCTTTCCCGTCCTCCTGTAGGTTTGTCCCGTAAGAAAAGCCTGTTAAGTTTCAACATATGATCCGAGCTTACCGGCTCCTGTTCCACTCTCTGCGGTGTTCCCTTGTCTTTGCGTCCGTCTGTCTCCATTGGATGCTATAAGAGATGGAGAGAGAGCCTCAGCCTCGACTGCACCACTAATGAAACCACCAAATAACGTACATGTAGCTGCTGCCGCTCTATCGTTCCCGTCTCGGGGAATACCTTGTCTTTCACGTTGCTCTCGAGCACGACGTTGTCGTTGAGCAATCTGACGGGCACTTAAAATAGGCTCTAAAGTAGGTTACATAGTGAGCTTGTATCTCTCGAAAAAAAGCCAGTGAAAATGAGGCATTACTTTGCACATCTCCCTCGAGTGGAACGCGTGAGTTTATTTGCTCAAACCATTCATTTCGCTCTCGCTCTCTTCGGCGTCGCTGCGCTATCTGACGAGCATTGAGCATAGGTTCTGGAGGAAAGCAAACTATCAGCGTATTGAAGGGTAGAAAGTATCAACCACGGTCATGAACATACCTTCGAGAGGTTCATATGTATCTCCGTTAGAGCCTACAGGTTCACGGCGCTGTGAGAGTCGATCGTCGAGTAGACGACTTGTACGAGAGGTTCGGCGTCGTTGGGCACGACTAACTTCAGCCTCGACATCCAGAGGCATTCAGGTCGTTATTGGGCAGGCTAGGTATGAAACTGAGAGGTGACGTGTACTGTCATCTTTATCGGCCAGCCCATACTTATTATTTGGCGAGCAACGGAATTTCCTAATCGCCGTACCGAAACGATCGAGAAAGGTGCCACAAAATCAAATATCGGACAATGGGGGTACTTGTACCGCTAACTATATCTGAATTGGTGGAAAAGGCTTGAGAGAAACAGGAGGACATGCATCTGCGTGCAGTAGATACGTGCATAGACTCAAACTCCATGTAAATAGAAAGAGTCAAGTATATGTCCCTGTAATGGATGCGAGAATGTGGATCTCGGGTGACGAAGTGGCAAATGCCAAGCGTGGTTCCGGTGAAATAAAGTTGAAGACCGACATGACCTTATTCATCAATTACTTATTTCGTCACGACTCGTCGATCGCTGTGCAGCGCTGTGCACGTCTTGGCCCGTTCGAGAACATTCCCAAAAGAGAGAGCCCAAAGAGCATTTTGTATGCGAGAGCCTTCGTTCGCCCTGACGATGATGGGTCGTTTCGGTTCATATAGACGATATATCCGAGGAGAAAGTGAGTAATTCAAGTACTCACTGCTTTGGAAGTCTGGGTAGATTGCTACTTTTCGCACTTGGAGGTGATGAGGGATGGTTCGGGTTGAGAAAGCGGAAGAAAAGAGCGCCCGATATGAGTCATGGAGACAGCCGACGCGGAACGGGCGGAACCGAGCAGCCAATCGGATTGCGTCTTTGTCTCTTGTGTCCGCGCTGTAGTATAGTAGATATGCTCCATGTCCCTGAGCTATGCTCTGTGTGTCTTTCTATTTAATGCATCTACGGTCAACTCTAAATGTGAGCATATTAATACAAATGAGGCGAAGAGTGGCAGTTCAGGCATGAGTGTTCGGCACACGCTCATGGTTCTTTTCCTCTGCTATGGATACCCTTGTACGTACTCGCCAGGACACTGACTACCAGTGTCCCAACCTGCCCTCTTTACAACTTGAGCACCATGAATAGTATATTATTAGCTCAAAATCGTTTCTCCAGTCTCCAGGAAAATCTTTCGAATTGTATGGGTCTTGCACTATGGCATATCTGAAGCGGATCAAATCAATTCCAGTCGCATGATATTCGAAGGTCTACTCAGGAATCGACGAGCTCCTTTCTGGAATTTTAATCATCACCGGCATAGAGTAATAGATCTAAATCTGCTCAAAAAGTGGCTACTCCCTCACTGACTTTGCGTTCCAGGAGGAGATGCTCTATGCAATACATGGTCGAACGGTAAAGGACCAGCATATTGGTCAAACTTCGGGTGAGGGCGCTGTTGAGTTGATGGGCGGCCAAAGCCCCTCGCTGCCCCGAATGCTTGCTTTCCCGCCTCTTATTTTTATACCCAGATCGTTTAACCGTTTCAGCTTCAGCTAATCAACCTGGCATCGCGCGAGAATGCAACTGAGGTTACAACCCAGTGGCTGTGATCACGATCATCTCCATTTCTCTCTGCTGTACGGTAATGTGATCGCGTTAAGCCGTCATCGTGAACCAACAAAATCTTTCAGATCAATTTTTCTGTGTTTGCGTTCCATACTGATCACCCGCTCTGCGGAGATCCCAATATGACACGTTAAACAACGAGTGAGAATGCAATCAAGTTGACGTCGGATACGTACCGATCCTCTGTCCATGGATAGCTGTCCGCTTAACTATCGGAATTCCTCGTATCTTCTGAGAAAGATCTGAAGGGTACAGATTATCTAGTGCATACTATGGCGCCCGTGTAAGTCAATATCTCCATTCTCGAATTCCAAATTCACCCGGTAATGCAGTTCATACTCAAGACCATCCATTTACTGACCACAAAGATCCGAGACTGGAACTGAGGTACCACTTCTAGGTTTTGTCTAAGAACGAAAGATATCTAACCGCATCCCTGCACTAAATATCGTTCATGACTGGTGCAGATACAACATTGCTATCATCGGAAGGGCTCATTGTGTGTTTGACCGCCCCGCCCTCCGAATGTCGTGCCAGCAGCAACGCGCTTTCATGGCACTGGAGTACAACTGAGTTCTGGTAAGCTAGGCTCTTGCTGAACGAGCGACTCCGAGGCGTACATGGACCTCAACTCTTCATGTCTACTCCATACCTACACGCCATAGTCAATACCCATGCTATTATCAGCTCTGCCACCACCTGTCAGTATAAAGGCATACGAATAAGTTTTGTTTTCACCCTCGTCAACTCAATCCGTACCTTCCCATTTCACCTCTCATTTCAGTCCCAGAAACCACACATCGGTTACAACCATGAGCGACAAGAATGATCCGAAGGCTCAATGGGAACAGGTCAAAGCATCCCTGCTTACTATGACACTGAGCAACGGTACGTGTCAACCATATCATGGCTTGATGCACTTTCTTTTTGTTGAAAACTATCTGAACCAAATCATTTAGTTCAATTGGGTTCGTGCTTGGACGCTTTCAAGGATATGGATAATGCAGTTCTCAAGCAAGGTGTGTTTGAATCTCTGCAGTGCGGAGCAGAGTAATAATTCGTGCCGAATAGGCCCAGATCCAGGAAGAGAGCTTGCCAAGAAGTGGCACGCTGCCAAGGCTGTATTCGCAACCTTCGTAGCAAACAACTGTCAGGCTTTACTTGTTGAATCTAGGTACAGGTTGCGCTCACGCTTGCTCTAGTGGCTCCTGGTGTATACAATGATGCCATTGCCGGCATGGACAAGATCGTGAACGGAACAACTTGAGGGTGGTAGGACCCATGAGCAGCTCCATATAGGTACAAGTCTGGGCGTTTTCAAGAGCACTAATCACCCGACGTAGCTCGTGTACCTATTTTTATAATATTTTAGTACGATATGGATGCCGTATATCTCTAATTTTTTGGTCCTATGAGTCGGCCGAGACCAGAGAAACTGACCATGGAACCCTGTGAAACACATTGAGTAGCAAGTATTGAGGAAACGTCGTCCAACACGCACCGTCCTCGGAGGTTATTATATTCTTCGTTGAAATATATGGGTTGAGTTGAATCACTGAAGACAGTGGTCCATCACGGATTCCCACCGACACATGTTTTGAATCAATTGTTCCGCACAAGGTCGTTGTGGGCAACCACAGTTATATTGCACTTGCAAACACTGTTTCTGCGCAAAAAGGTTGTTAGGGTTTAGAAAGCTAGAAACCATGGAATTTTCATCTTAGCCGCGGAATAACTGGGGGAGCTAGGTCCCTTATGCTTGACCTCCCGTGGAGAATGATCAGTGTTTAGACCTCTCGGCAGAGTATACCGGGGCAGACTGAAGCGTTTCGATTGATTAAGAAAGCTCGCCGAAGGATTTGAACCTGAATAAACATTTTCTTTGTACCACGAGAACTCAGCCAGTTTAGCCATGAATCTAGTGGAAGGTTTACAATAGTTTTCATCAATGTTTTAGCGTCATTTGAACAGGACCAAATCCTAGGTATAAACCTCAAGATTCGGAGTTTCATTCTTGACTGAAATCTTACACTTTTATCCCCGTGTAAAAGAATGCCTGAATTGGTTTTTACCCCACCTCCATATTACACTTTATTTACCGTGTTGTAGGAGAAATACTATGAATACGAGATTGATACCATTTACATGCGCTTGAAAGAATCACTAATTGTGACAGAAACCCATTCACACAAGGACGACAGTGTACAGAGCGTTTTTTTGGCATTATCTAGGATCAGCTGATGGGAACAAAGTCAGGAGTGGTGGATGGTCCTTCTCCAGAGTCGCAAGATCATTAAATGGGTTTGCCCTCCTCTTTCTCTGTACATCTGAACGCTGGCCAGCATCCACGTGGACTTAGATGAACTAAAACATAGTGGCGCATAGAATGAGCGGCTCCTCATCTACACATCCGGAAATGGTGTGGCATACGAGAGAGGCTGCGAATATGGGGAATGGTGCACCTATGCGGACTTTGGTCCAGCTCACTCTTGCTCGACGCCTAAGTAGCCCGCACCCTGTGCACCGTAAATCACCATCAAATGGATAAAATCACAGAGGGTAATTTTGTACTCTTAACTCGTGCCAGCAAGCCCACCTTGTGTGTGCTGGGGAAAAAGAAACTCAGCACGACATCATGGTCTATTTCTACGGTCCGTTTCCAAGGCTCTGGGCAACGTGACAGAAGTTGATCAAATTCCATCCTGAACGAGACTCAAAGGTGGGCTATACTTATGCTCCAACCATTGGATATTCATAGTCAAAATTTCGTGGGCATAGGTATCTCCGTCAAGGTTCTCCGACTATCTGACACTTCGGTAATCGCTCCAAGCACCCTACTCATACAATATGATGAAACATATACCAGTGATGCGCCTCCGAGGACAGTGTGTATCGGACGAGGTTTCCTCAGTGCTTTCTGCTTAATGCCATACACAGGGTTCCGTGGTTAGATTCTCGGTCCTCGGCTGAGGGTCAAAAAATAGAAGATAAATGTCATCCATATCGTACTAAAATATTATAGGAATAGGTACACGAGCTACGTTGGGTGATTAGTGCTCTTGAAAACGCCCAGACTTGTATCTATACGCAGTTGCTCATGGTTCTTACCACACTCAAGTTGCTTTCTTCACGATATTGTCCATGGCGCCAACGGCAGCAATGTATTCCGAAGTGACTAGAGCACGTGTCAGCGCAGACTACACCTAGATTATACAAGTGGAGTCTGACAGTTGTTGGCGATGAAGACTGCGAAAGTAGCCTGGGCAGCGTGCCACTTGTTGACAAGCTCTCTTCCTAAAACCGAGCATACTCGGCACAAATTATCAGTCTGCTCCACACGGCAGAGAATAAAACTCACCTCTCTGGCCTACTGCGTTATCCATATCCTCAATAACCTTCATGTACGAACCCAATTGAACTGAATGATTGGGAAATAGTTTTCAGTAAACAGAAAGGACATCAATCCATGATTTGGCCACGTACCGTTGTTCAGAGTCATGTTATTCACGGTACCTTTAAATTTATCCCATTGAGCCTTTGGATCCGTGCTTTTGCTCATGATTGTAACAGATGTGTGGTTTCTGGGACTAGATGAAAGGTGAACAGGGAAGGTACGGATTTGAGTTGACGAGTGTAAAAACGAAACTTACTAGGAAGCCTTTATATTGACAGGTTGTGGCAGAGCTGCTCATAGCGCAGGTATTGACTATAGGGTGTGTGTATGGAGCAGACATGAAGAGTTGAGGTGGATGTATGCCTCGGAGTCACTCGGACAGTCAGAAGCCTAGCTTACCACAACTCAGTTGCATACCCGTGCCATGAAGGCGCATTGCCACTAGCACGAAGGTCTGAGGGCGGGGCGGTCGAACACACAATGAGCCCCTCCAATGATAGCAATGTTTTGTCTGTCCCAATTACGAATGATATGTATTGCATAGATGCGGCTAGATATCTTTCGTGCCAAGGCAGAACCCAGAATCGGTACCTCAGTTTGAGTCTCGAAGTTTGGTGATCAGTGAATGGATGGGCTTGAGCATGAACGACATTACTGGGTGGTTTTAGAATGTGAAGACGGAGGGCTTGACTTACACTGGCGGTCATATGCGCAAGATAATCTGTACCTTTTTGGTTCTTCTCAGAAACACGACGACTTTCGATAGTAAAGCGGCCAGCTATCCATAGACGGAGGATCGGTACGTATCCGACGTCGACTTGATTGCATTCTTCACTCATTGTTTAACGTGTCATATCGGGATCTACGCAGGGCGGGTGATCGGTATGGAACGCAAAAGCAAAAAAAGTGATCTGGAAAATGTTTCTAGGTCAAAGATGAAGGATCAAGTTACCATACCGCGGAGAGAGACAGGGATAGTGGTGATCCCCGCCACTGGATTGTAACCTCAGATGCATTCTCACGCGCTGTCGGGTATATTAGCTGAAGCTGAAACCAATGATCCATCTGGGAATAAAAATAAGAGGCGGGAAATCTAGCATTCGGGTCAGCGAGGGGCTTTGACTGTCTATCAACTCAATAGCGCTCTCACCCAATCAAGGCCCGGTGAAAATTTATTAGCGTCAATCCAAAGGGTGTCATGGTTGTCATCTAATTAGAACACTGTTATCTCCTCGGCATCTGGCCCATGTTCTGCTGGTTGAGGTGATCGTCAGACGGTAGTTTGACCGATATATCAGTACCATACTGTTTGAAGATGCGAAACATATTTCTTCTCTTCCTAGAGGGCAACGTCAGCGAGCTACTACCTACCCCAATCTATAATGGATCCTACAGGTAGTCACCTTCGTAGCTGATAGTATTGAATGGGAAAGTTCATTGACGTGCGTAGCGAGTCTGTGCAGAGTCGAATCAGTTAATCCACCCGAATAACGGACAAAAACATAGACAGAAACCTACTAACCAGAACGAGCACACCCTTGGAACGCGTCCCAAACCGAGATATCAAAAGGAATATTGTCAATACTCTGCACGGAGAACGCAAATAAATCCAAATTCCACGGTGAATGTCGAGTGGTAGTTGTAGAACTGAATCATTAGGGCATATATGTAGCGGTTCACATCGCGTTTTTGCGATGTGAACTAAACCCATGATGGGTTCAATACTTCGCAACTTTGTCCCGTTGGAGCCTCGAAGCTCAATTCACACTCAGTGCGATTTCGATGCGAGAGGGGCCTCCTCCGGCCTCTGCCCGTTCACTGACATCGTTCGGAACAACACACACTTTGGCGGAAGGCCCACGTACTGTAGCTCCCAAAAGAATCGCTGTATCAGAGGCCATCAGGAAGGGGGACGGGAATGAGAGCAGGAGTAGTCCCGTCTCGAGGATCCAAACCCAATGTGAACTGAGTATTATATCTAGCACCACACTCGAGATTCCGAGTTCACACTTTTCGTTTTCAGGATGATGAACGAAACTGATGTGAACCGCTACATACACCCACGGTCAAAATAGTTGACCACCCCCATATTTGGCAGGTGGTTCCGGCATGTGTCTCCCCTCAAGTACGAAGGTTTTTGTGGTGGTCTGTACACCAGGCTGGTCTACTGTAGAGGCTACATCTATAGGATAGATAATTGTGCATCATAGTTGTAGAGTTGAGCCGTGAAAAATCAAAAGAGTCAGATTTTGATAGGTGTACTGTGAATTTTATATAGACGGAAACATTGGTGATATGTGAACCAAAGAAAGTGTTGAATATACACTTGAGAGTATGGATTTATGCATTGGTTTTTGCGGGATTTATGGATGAACGATGCATGAACAGTGGTCCTTGCAAGGTCAGTGTGGCACCCCCTACCTCCAGGTACCCCCCTCATATAAAATCAACGAGCGATATTAGGGTTCATATTTATATATGATACATCTGTAATAGCCTATAAAGTCTCGATAACGCATACAGCTCGACTCTAAACTGTACTGCTGATTTTATATTGGAGGGGTACCCGATTGTGCAAGGTGCCACACTGACCTTGCAAAGACCACTGTTCATGCATCGTTCATCCATAAATCCCGCAAAAACCAATGCATAAATCTATACCCTCAAGTGTATATTCAACACTTTCCTTGGTTCACATATCACCGATGTTTCCGTCTATATAAAATTCACAGTACACCTATCAAAATCTGACTCTTTTGATTTTTCACGGCTCAACTCTACAACTATGATGCACAATTATCTATCCTATAGATGTAGCCTCTACAGTAGACCAGCCTGGTGTACAGACCACCACAAAAACCTTCGTACTTGAGGGGAGACACATGCCGGAACCACCTGCCAAATATGGGGGTGGTTAACTATTTTGACCGTGGGTGTATATGCCCTATTCGCAGATTTAGCAGCATCTGCGGGATTGAAACTGATCGGGGACGGAATGGAACTCACAAGAGTCCATATTTGCATTGGTTCGATATGTTGCCGCCGCAGCTAGAGCTCACCATAATTTTCGGACCGTTGAATGTGCATCGCTACATATATGACCGAGTGAGTGCAACGGCACAGACCAAATAAAATGTCAGAAAATACCATTGAATCCAACGAGACAATTGATGTGAGATCTAAGGTCACGCCAAGCATCGCAAAAGCACAACTGCGATGATCTATACGCGCTGCGAGCCCTTTGATATCGCCGCGCTGTAGCCAGCCAAAAAAAAACAGGAAAAAGGCGGCGATGTCGGCGGCACCCTTGTTAAATCGCTCTTCTTAGGTTCAGCTTCGTCGGACACTCCAGATATCGGTACAGTCCTGATTACAGTACAGCCAAACAACATTCGGGGACAGACATGAGATCAGCCTGATGGGGAGTATGTGGTATCTTGGGGCAGTAGACGCCCACGGCACGACGGCAAACGGCATACTAAGGTCAAGGGTCTCCCGTGTGATTACTACTAAAATCATCGAAGGCTCGCCTTTGAAACGAAGTGATAGCTTCTTATATGCACGCGAGCAGGCATATGTCCTGAAGAGTGGTCAGAGAAGTGTTTGTTGAGCACACATGTTCAGAATGCTCTTAATTCATGCCTTGACGCATTTATGCAGAATTATTGCCATGAAGTCGGGTGCTGCGAGCTCTGAAGGTCTCCGTGTGTCCCAAGATTCGCAACATCTTGCAAACGAGCACCACAGCCCCTCGGGTAAAGACCACTGGTAATGGCTCTGATTGCTACGAGGACAAAAACCCTAAGTATCCAAATTCGAGCATCACAAGACAGGCGACAATGACACTGGCATGAGGGCCGCAGACTAGCGCGTCTTGTATCGAGATGTTGTCCAAATAAACGTATGTATCATGCATAGATAACCCGCCGATATCAGGCGAGTACTGCAGCGCAAGCATAATCATGAAACGAATGGTATGATAGTGACCGACGTGATGTGCACGGACATCGCGTACGAATGAATTCGGGCCATAAATCGCCCATTGATGTAATGTATGTTCTTTAGCATTCTAATAACATCAATCTTCAGCGTCGTATCTGGAGAGGACTTCCACGATGCGAGTAGTGGCAAGTCTCATAACGAGCAAGTGACTCTAGTCCACGAGTTGGGTTCGAGCATCACGACAACCCATAGAACATGATAGCCACTGCCGATAGACCAGTGTTCAAGGATCACCGCCGCTGAGTTCTCGTTAGTTCGTGTACGAACGGGCGTGGTACGGAACGGAAGAGAAGACAGGGACTTACAGTCTGTTTGAAGGGCATGAAAGAATGACACAATTTATTATTGACGATGCGAGCTGTGATTCCGACTGTAGCCAAAATATGGCAAATAGGAGCAACTATAGATCGTAGTAGTTCACCATTGGCTCGGTGGCATAGCGAGCTTTCAGAAGGAGACACGCCTCAGGCGAGTATGCAAGTTCGTAAATACGCGCCACGGATGAAAGAACCATATTGAGTAATGGGTTCATTCAGTATCAAAAGAGAGTGCACAGATTGAAGAGAGCGGGATATAAGGTCTTTTGTAGAGACGTCAGACCTTGTGCAGGAAGGATATAGTGACCAGAGGCAACCCAATAGTAGACTTGTTGAACCAAGGTATAACGTTCATTGGTAGAAGCACCCAGAATGCTAGACGTGGATCCAAAAAGAGGTCCAATGAGGAATTGTCGAGGAGGTTGGAGACGAGGCACAGAATAAGGGCAGTGGAAGGACGACAAGAGAGAGAAACGCGGGAGCTAAAGCGCCGAAGCCAAGCCGAGTCTAAGACGCGGGAGATGCCGTGGCGATTGGTTGCGATCCCCGACAACCCGCTCACTCTTCGTTTCTGAGCGTCGAGCAAAAAATCTTGTCGCGCCTCTCCCGCTCCCGCTCTTCTGTAGACCAGACTATGTAGCCACGCTCGCTCCTTGCGGAGTCACAGAGTCCTAACCTTCGTTTCTGAGCTTCTTCTCTACCATCGCTCCGACCCTAGCGCTCCCCAAGTCCCGCCCTTCGCACATCCATCTACCCATCGAAAACATCGTCCTCCACAACCTCTAGTATTGGTTGAGCAACGCCACGAGTATCCGCTATCACTTTTCGCGTCATGGATAGTTTATGATCGACCCTACTACATACAGTCTACTTAATACCCGCTCAGCTTTCGAATTCGTATCGTACTCTACCTCATCTCAATCTATATGTTTGCTTCTTGCGCGTTTTTCCACAGCTCTTCTACACTGAAGTGGAGCTATTCAGCATAACGACTATCAATTCTCCAAGGGAAACGAAACGATGGGAGTTTGTCAAAGAATGACCCACAACTGCATGCAACTGTGGCACAGCACCTACAGCACGGTGCGTAGGAAAGTTCCCCATCGTCCGCAACGTCACAACACAACTTGTTAACGACCGCCATATCGCTAGCAAACCAAAGCGACACTATTACTGTTGAGGACATATACCGCAAAGTATAGACCATCCCTTCTACAAGGATCCATATCGCTGTTCAAAGTCTACAGGAGCATAGCTCACTCGAGCTCCTACCCACGCGTCAGCAGCTTCTCATGACCTCCACTTCCGAGTCCTCCACCCGACCACTCTACTTCGCCTACGGGTCCAACCTCGCTCTCTCTCAGATGAAAATGCGTTGTCCATCCAGCCCATACGTCGCTCCCGCGAGATTGAAGAACTGGCGGTGGCAGATCAACAAACGAGGTTATGCCAACATCGTACCCGTCCCCGTTGCAGCCCCCGTGGCGACTGAAACAGTAGAAGTTGTCGATGAGGATTGGAGAAGTACGACGATAAAAGCAATTGAGAAGGATGAAGAAGAGAGGTACAAGGGTACCGAGGTATGGGGTTTGCTCTATGCGATGAGCGAGGATGGAGTAGACGAAGTGGCGTTAGACAGATACGAAGGTGTGGCGACGGGCGCTTACAACAAGCTCGAATTGGAGGTGAAAGTCTTCGACGTTCGACCAGACGTGGACGGTAAGGAGGCTGTGATAGTGAAGGAGATTGCGAGGTCGGAAAAGGTATTGGTGTATGTGAATTGCGTCATGATGGAGGATGGGAAGGCAAAGGAGGAGTACATATGTTGGGAGGATGAATAGGGGTATAAAGGATGCGGTCGAGAGGGGTGTTCCGCGCGAGTATGTCGAGAAGTGGATGCGGCCTTTCATCAGTGGATGAGATGCGGTTTAGCATGGAGTGACTATGAGGATATAGAAAATGTATGAAGTGCTGTATTTGATTTGTTTCCTTGGATTACATTCGGTGTGGCGTGTGGCGTAGGATCTGAACGGTGCGATATATATCCACCGTGGTTCTATGGGGATTCCAGACATAAAGGTAGGATAAGCTATGCACAGACAAGTAGATATAAGCAGTAGAAGCCTAAAGTCCAATGGATCGACATGTACCAATATATATGTTTGTACGAGTTCGGTTAAAGATAGTGCACAGAACCATTATTCAAGACGGCGAGGGATTATTGTCTAGAGAACACTCAAGAGTACTGTGAGGTATGTGAGTAATAAAGATGCTGGTAATTAAATATAATGGAAGCAGTAATAAATACGAAGCCTGTACCCTTGAGCGGGAGGACTTCCTCTATGGTAGTATGGCGGTCAAAACTCGACGGGCAGACGAAGTCGACGAGCGGGAGTCTCCTCGACCCTACGAGGCGTTCAATCCGATATCGTCCTCGTCGTCCATGGGTAGTCCAATAGTAGCAGTACTCATCCGTTTTGGCTCGATGATATGATTCCTATAGAGCATGCCATGAGTCGACGCGACAAAGAAAAGAAGAGTAAAATGAACCTCTCTAACAAATCCTTCACCCCCGCCTCACCCGCCTCCCAATCCACCCTCACCCAGTTGTGCACCAACTGCCCGGCCTTATACACCAACATCGTCGGCAACATGTCCGTATCCACACCATCGTCTCCCTCTTCATCATCCCAATCTTCTTCACCCTCTTCAGCATCATAACCAGCCTTCTCGTTCTCATATGGATTATCCTCGTCTATGGAGGATAGAACGGCGGAACGAATTGGTTTTTTGGGAGGGCCGGATGCGGAAGCGGATGACGGTGACGAAGATGAGGATGCGAAGCCGATGGCGCTGGCACGGCAGCGGATGAACTTGGTGTCGGAGTGCATGCGGGCGAGACGCACGAGTGTGTCGTCTATACGCTCGCAACGGTCAAGTACCTAGAGATAAGGAGGGGATTCTATGAGTATATAGTTCAGGACGATGGGACGGCGTCCAGGATGTGGGTAGATATAGGTGAAGATGTAGGTGTAGCACCGGATCGGTGGGGATCCTATATGTGGTCCATGCCGTTGCATGTAGCACAACAGTCCACGAACCATGTTGATGGACCACGCAAACGACTCTCGCCACACCAAACAGCACAGTCATCCTCTATCTTGGCAGACTAAACGACTGGACGCGAACACTCACCGGGTCATAAATGTGCACCACGACCCAGACGTCTCCCTTCTCCCCCTCCACCGCATTAACATAGCCCTTTTCCCCCACCTCTCTGAGATGCCCAAACCTTCTCCGCTTCATTCCATCCACCATTCTCCCCACCATCCCACTCCCCATCCCCATCGCAAACGGCGAGCCATCCTCCAACACCTCCTTCTCCGTCTCTCCCTTCTCGATCCTCTCCTTCAATTTATCGGCCTCTTCCTCCAGGAATGTCTTCCCTCCAAGCGATGCCCGTTCCATAGCGCGATTCAGAGCAGTGATTTCGCTTGCGCGGTGCGCCCGAGAGAGCGCTGCAGCCTCGTCATGATCGCGAATGACGCCTTTTACACCCGTTCGACCTGGGCCCGTTCCGACGCTAGCATTGGGGTCGTGGACGTCGGTATTGGCGGTGGTGGTTATGTTGGGCGTGTAGGCAGCGTCCGTGTTCGCATCCGAGATGTCTTCGGTAGGCCAGGGGCGGGACGGGGTGGAGTCTGGGGAAGGAGAGCGGGAGGGTGATGAGGAACGGGAGGGCCCGTTGAAGAGTTCACCCGAGAGTACAAGTTCCTCGAGACGATCGCCGGCCTAATTATGGAGGTGAGCATGGCGAAGAGTACGACAGAAGTGGACAAGAGAACAAGCCAGTCGGTCGACAGGGGAAGTGCGAACGGCTGAAGCACACGCACCATGTCTACCCAATGTTTTCTCTTTCAAGCGTCCGATTTCAACAAGTCAAATATAAGTGGCTAGTTTCTATACTTCTCCCAGTCATTACCCCAGCTTGTCAACATCAGAAAACTGTACATACCCGTCAACAGAAACTTCGCGAAAGCAAGTCCGGCGACGTGTGGAGGTCAAGTCAAGTCTCGAAATCCAAGCTTTGTATATGAAGGCCAAGGAGCCGATGGCAATGGTACGAGTCTGAGGGAGAGGAGCAGCTGCTCGTTGACGGGTTGTTCGACTGTCGCGGTTCGTCCTCAAGACGGATGCGACGACTTCTACCGATTCGTCAAAGTTTGGTAAAGCCCCCGTACGCGCATGCCGTCGGCTTGCGCCGAGCCAAGCAATAAAAAGACAAGGAATATTCGAGGGATTTTGAGCGGGGAAGATTTTTGTGCAACATGATGGTTAGGTCGAAGAGGATGATGAAGGTTGTCGAATTGTCGCGGTATTTGTCGAGTGCGATGCTCGTGGCCATGAAACAGGGCAGTTTTTACTGACAGTTGACCGCGGGTGGTGTGGCGTGGCGCTTATTTCGGTAAGTATCACTGCGGGTGGCGCGGCACACGATTGCATCTTCATTCTTGACTTCATCCACAACGATCGTTAAGTATCGGGACATCCATACAACGTCCATAGAGGAGTCGTTGATTTCGACCTTCGTAAGCCCCATCGTTTTTAGTTGTCCCGAAACGTGCTCTATGTCTCTTTCTAGGCATCTGGTCGTTTCTCAGTAGGCAAATTTAACGGTAGCATTTTCCTTGGGATAGAGGCACCACCATGTTCATATCAGGCCCATATGACTCTCCTACGGGGTCTTGCCAGCTTTACACCATCTTTCTCCTTCTGACTCAGGACTAAAACTCTTGCATCGCATCGAGGAACAGAGTGATACACGACTGCGTTGTAGTCTCCAAGAAGCACCAGATCCAGCGACACCAGCGCCAACGGTGGGTCCATTCTTCTTCTTCAGCTCCTTATGTCGATGGTGTTGTCCGAAAAACCATCATGTCGAGTGAGTCAATGAGAGCCAGATACCTACTCAGGCTACTACTATCGGCCATACTAGCGCTATGGGAAGTAGGCATGAGGATTGGAAGCCCTTCTCGCCAGCTTGTGATTATCTGCTGACATCTCATGGTTCGGTCATCTGAAGGTTTTCCATGGTTTTGCGGGTCTTTCCTGCGGGGTCTCATCATGTGTATCTAAGGCTGATCCGAGTCTTTACCCCTATATTTCCACCGCTACAGTGCACACCGCTGCTCTCGTTCTCCCAACGCCAGATCTATCCTTGATCAGTACCACTAATACCATGTCTAGTGCTACTGGAAATCGTGTCGCTTTCATAACGGGCGCCGCTGCACAAGGTCGGTACCTCTCTCTGGTCTTATTGTATTCAACGAAATGCTTCTCACCATCTGTCACCGTCCATGATATGACTTTTCCGAATCGCTAGGACTAGGTCGCTCCATAGCTCTCCGACTCGCCGAAGATGGGTTCTCCCTGGCTCTCAACGACCTTCTTTCAAAGAAAGACATCCTCGAAGACCTTCAGGCTCAAATCCTCAAGTCCTATTCCGACAAACATCCCGGGCAGAAATGCATGATCACTACGGGCGACGTCTCTTCCGAAGAAGATGTAAAGAGGATGGTGGAAGAGGCGGTAGAGGAGCTTGGAAGTCTGAACGTGGTTCGTTACCTCTATCGTCTACCTTAGATGGTGCTGGTGTTTATTCATGATGTCTACTGGTCCTTGTCCGTCGGTGTGTAAGATGGTGGCTAATGCTGGAATATTGCCTGGATTTACGAGTTTCCTTGATAGTACGTCTGTTTTTCTCGCAGTCGTCTCCTGCGGTGATATCTCAACGCGCATCCCTTGTTCATTAGCGTCCCTCAAAGATCTCGATAGGATGTTATCTATCAATCTCAAAGGCGTGTTCTTGTGTTCGTGTTTTTTACCCCTCGCCCTTTTTTTCCCTGTCAAACACCCCTTCCGTATTAACCGCTCTTGACGCGAGCAGGCTACCAATACGCGGCTCGCCAGATGATCAAGCAAGGACGCGGAGGAAGGATCATCGGTGCCTGCTCCATCGCTGGGAAACAAGGACACCCGATGGCAAGTGCTTATAGCACCAGCAAGTTCGCAGTCCGTGGGCTGACGTAATCTGTCGGTGAGAATGTGTTCGTCCACCGTAGCGTGATGGTCAAGAGACTGACAAGGAATGTGGTCTTTGTTATAGCGGCGGAGCTGGGTCAATATGGAATCACTGTGAATGCCTATGCCCCGTGAGTGGTCTCTTCATACCGATAATTGAGTGTCTGGAATCTCAACGACTGGCAGAGGCTTTACGTCCACGGATATGCGTGAGCACATTCTTTTCTCGATAAATTCGGCCCGTCGATGTACCGTATCATCTGGGCAGTACGAAACCTCGCAACGCAGTCTCCCGACTCGAAAACCTTCTACACCAATGTTCGTCTGTCTATCCTTACCTTTCTCCATTTCAGGTACACAACTTACTTGATACCCATGTTGTCGTCGGTATATCCTAGTTGGAGGACACGACGGTCCTGTGTAGGCTCGGTAAGCCGGAGGAGATAGCGGCCTTAGTCTCATTCCTCGCTTCAGAGAACTCAAGCTTCATCACCGGTACGTGAAAGCCGTTACGCTTCGGCCGTCCCTAAGATGACGCATATGCTCACTATCCATTTATTTTATTTTGCTAACTCATGGGTGCATAGGTCAAAGTGTGAGTGGGCCACTCCATTTGTCTAACTTACGTTCGTGAGTGTGTACTGAGAATTGAATACGCTAGATCGTTGTCGATGGCGGAAGAATATTCGATTGATTCAAGATATCTCACTCTGTATCAGCCCAGCAAGGGCGATGTATTCCACGTGTATTTCGCCCAGCCAATGAAGCTATTGCTGATGGGCAGATCCTATAATCCACGACCGTCTACAGATCACGTCACCGCCTCAACATTCACAGAAATACACATCATCGTCAATCGCTGATCCGCTCCACGGATACTTACCCCCGCAGCCTCCAGGATTCTTGCTGCTCGCGCTGTGTACAGAAACGATTCTTAGCTGATTGGAACACGGGTAATGGTTGTAGAAACCTGCTGGACAACGTCAAGCTTTAATTAGCGAGACGGCTCACGGCTTACACCGCTAGGTATCATGGCAGTCTCACTGCTACGAACGACCCATCGCAAAGTGTTGGGTGCCATCGTCTGTGATGGATACGCGATGTTGGCTGTGGCTGCGGTATGTGGCTTCCGACCTGATTCCTCGAGACTTTCTCTCAATTTAGATGTTGTAGTGGATTGCCGGATCAGGAAGTGAAGGATGGTTGCCGATCTCAGACGAGCTTCAATTTCTATGGTCAAGAACGAACGCCACCCTTCCAAGGATCCATGTTTCACACACGGACCACCTTCATCGTATCCTCACATTTCCTTGCCCTCCAATAGCGAACTCAAGTGACTATTTTAATCCCTCTAGTGCTATAGAGCTCTGGTAAGTGAGAGGGATTGCGCTGAAACGCTTTACTCTTTAACGAATCTTGTTTCAGCTACAGCTATGAGGCACCGTATGCGATACATCCAAAGATAGGATCTCTATGATCTTCACTGCCGTTGTTCGCTGTTCTTTATCGATATTATTGTACCAACTATATTCGACGACCCCGTGTATCGAAACACGGTCAAAGGATCTGGAACCATACTATTTTCATGGCAGCTGACGCCCCTCCCTCCGTCCTGTTTGATTTGGTAGCTTTCCTACCAGTTACCACGATCGGAATACTTGTTCCCAGATCTGTTTGTTTCCATAGTATGTGTTCTCCGCCAGGTTTTTCTGATTGGTTTACTTAGCAGTGATCACTGTCTGACGGGGATGGTGCCTTGTTGGAAAGCTCCGCGGGCCTTATGAACCATATAACTTCCTTACTTCCTTCCTTCCGAAGAGCAGGTACTCATACTGATCTGCGCTTATCCTCGATGACTTCAATTCATTCAACTCTTGGAGCTCTGGAAATCGGGGTACTACTCATGCTGCTGCTATTTGGCATCATGATTGCACAGGCCTATACTTATTATCAGTCACAGTCGACAACCGATAACCGCATTCTCAGAATTCTAGTGAGTGAGAGCGCTGGACGATTTGGAAAGAGAACTAACGTGCTTTACTGCTAGGTACCCTTGGTCATGTACGCTTACCCAGCGAACGTATTTCTCCCGAGCACTTAATTTTGTACGCGTCCTGTAGCATCACGGAGACCTTTCATACAGGCCTCATGTGCGCAGACTTCTATATCACCTCAATCAGCGACTACGGTAATATCACGGAAATTGACGCAAACCATTGGACTGGAGTGTTCGCTCAGCCTGTCTGCAGCCTTTCCGTTGCCATGATTCAGGTCTGCCTATCTATGACTATATTATCACTATGCTGATGGGCGTATTTAGTGTTTTTATGCGTGGCGAATCCGTTGTATTTCGCGACAATGGCCCATTACGCTCATATCGTGGCTTGGTTCGGCCGTGCATGTTGGTACAGCGATAGGCCTCGCTGTTGTCTCGGATGGAATTCCGCTGTTGTCCACGCTTCTTGGCAACTATAGGTGGCTTGTCTGCGTCTGCGTTTCCGCAGCGGTCGCAGTTGACGTTCTTAACATGTCCGCCTTTTGCTATTGGTTGTGCAAAAGAAAGTCTGATTTCAGACAGTAAGAACTTTTCCAGTCCGATATGCTTCTTCAATCTGACGGTATCCGGACGGCAGATCCGCATCACACGGAGTTCTGAACATTCTCATCAGATGGACCATAGGTGTGTATATACCCCTGAGCTATGGAGAAACCGATCTGTACTGACCGCCATGCTCCTCTCTAGAGACAGGCATGCTGACCTTGTGAGCTGGATCGATTGTGGTGCACATTTTTGTAACTCAACTGTTGTATTATCCTCGTCTACTCCTTTTCGCCAACTGTAAGCATCGTCGCATCCTTAGAATTGGTATTTGTGAGTTCTCGTCTATTCCTCATACGTACGCACCGTTGGCTCACTTCTGTCCGTAGTTCCTGGTCTTACCGAATACATGTGAGCGTTCTCCCCGCAAATAGTGTACCGTTTTATTGACTGGAAATCAACCTCTAGTCTTGTTCATGTGCTTCATATCCTTCGGAACGAAAGGCAAGTCACTTTATCTGTTCTTGCACGGCAACGCCTAATTAGTATCTCAGTCTACTCAAATTCGCTTCTTGCTTTGTAAGTCTCACATACTCGGGCTCTAAACCCTACATATTGTGAATGTCGTCCGCAGATTGAATGGTCGATCGGCCCTCATCGAAAAGAGTGGTTACGCCTCGGGCGCCATGGACATGCAACCGCTCACCGTATACCCAGGTGCCAATGTGGGTCCGCTTTTCTTCCAAACATCGTTATGTAACTATAGTTGAAGGTTCGCACTAGACCCCGCATGTATCTGAATCTTCACGTCTAACGGGACGTTTTACAATGTCGATGTCCTCTTTTCCTCCTCATGTCAGAGTTTCAAACCGTTCTCTTGCATAAGCTGCGACTCCCCACATACCCCCGCAGTCTCCTGAGGATCTGATCCCGTTTTATTTCTTGGTCCCGACAACATATTATTCATCTGTTTGATAGAGATGCTTTTGTTTCCGACGAATGCGACTGATTCGCCCAAATTTTGAGATAACGAGATCAGTGTGGCGTCGCCACTTGACTGATGCCTCTCACACAATCTTCCGAAGCGGCCTGGCGGTCCTCATTTGCCTAATAATCTCGTTTTTGCTTCTCAAGTCAAGATGATCGTGCCCACCCGAGACATATTGCGATAATAACGACAGTGATTTGACAGACAAAACGGATCTTTTTCAAATACACCGGCATGAAGGACGACATCTCGAGATAGGTCGAGTATCACGGGGAGGATGGAGAAGTGGACTTCAACGGTTTCGCGAAAAGCTACGACGGTCTGATTCAGTTCTTTCATCGTCATAGATGACCTCCTTCCACTTTCCGAATCGTCGACGACTTCGGGGCTTGATTGTGTCCGAGCGTTGTCTCTCCCTTTCCCTTTCCCTCTATCTCAATACGGACATCAAGTCCTTCACAAGGTTGTCAGAAGGCTCATGTATGATCGTATACACCTCGGCAAGCCTGCTCTTACTCAACGCTACTGAACTGTATCAGAGAGCTTTGCCTGACATGTCCAACATAATTCAATTGCGATGCAGCGCTGCTCTCATACCACCCATGAAACTTCTCGAGGCACAAATAATGACGGAACACACGTCGTTCAAGAGAATAGATGTGATCCAAAGGAAATACGTCAGAGTTCACGAATTCTCCGAAACAAGAAACAAAGTACAATGTGCATCACAGCCCCTAGCCTTCCCTTCTCGCGTCCCGCGCAATGCATGGCCTCCTTTCCCCAGAAGCTGCCACAAATGAACCATGCAGCCAAAGAATCGATACACGCCCCTCTCGCCCGAAAACCCCATCTAAGTCTGGTCGCTGGTGGAAACGTGTCGCGTCGCGTATCACGGTGAATAGGTAGTGGTATAATGGCCAGAAATGCATAGGAAGATGACCATAGTCCAACCCTTTTCGCGGCAAAAAGGGTTAGAGTCGACCCTTGAAGACGTCTAGGAATTACGAGGACAAGGATGCCGCATATGCCTTGCCCATGATAGGACGTCGCTGCCAGGTTCGGTTAATAGTGGGTTGACGGATCGGAGGCTGAGGGAGAACGATAACATTAGTCCAGTCGTATGATAATCGATACATTGAAGAAACAGAATGGAAAAAAAAGTACAGTAGTTGATTAGGAGCGGGTTGAAATGGATCGCGCCGAGAAACGTGATGAACGTCGGGAAATAGAAAACTAAATAGAGACGGCGTGACGCACTAATTGACTTTCAGGAAGCACTTTCCCAACCACATACTTTCCAGCTCGAAACACGACCGGGAAGTCTCCCTAAAATTCGAACCACGGTGAACACAACAAAATATATGAGCGAACTCTCAACCGTGGGATTATATATTGTGACGAAGAGACGTACGTGGGTCGGCGCGGCCGACACCAAAAACCCGAAAGAGAGCAGGGAGATCACCCAAACGAAAACCTGCATACTCGGGGAGCGGCAAAGGTCTTGACGATACAGTGGAAATTGAGCCGGAGTCGGAGGACGATGCAAGCTGGGGCGAGCGTCTGTCACAGCACGATCTGAGAAGAAGAGTGCTTGGCTGGCCCTTATATACCGTCTCAAAGGAAGCTAGTGATAGAAGAGGATAGGTATGTATTCCCATGTCGTCAACGTACTCATCAGAGCGCGAGGACAGGATGCCGGAAGCGTCAAAGTAAGGTTTGACTGTGGGAGGAAGTGTGATTGCCATGGAGAACGGGACATCCCCGTAGCAGATCACAGTACGCATACATAAGAGAAAGAAGGAGGAAGATCATGAGCGGATTTTTCGAAGGGATGACCATGGGGATACGAACAGTCAAGAGGACAAACTGGGCGAGGATATGAATCTCTGTGGGAATAACCTGCATGGCGTACAGTGTGGCGTAATACCTAAATCTGTAAGTAGCGAACAGACGATGATCTCTGTCGGTGAAAGAAGATACATGGAGGCAGGGTCAGGCCCTGTCTTATGCTCAAGGCTCGAGGCAGTCTGGAACCATGGGTGCGGTCGTCTCAAAGCAGCACGACGGCTTCATCAAAAGCACAGACGCACGAGCTCCCGCTATGAAGCAAGGATCATAGCGGCAGAATACGTGTAGGGTATAGTGTTCGAGATGAATCACAAGCCTAGCATGTTAATTAAGTAGATGAGAAAGCTTGGAGAATATTACAGGAGCGAGCGTATGAAGCTGAGGACGGACGAACCGTCTGATACTCGGAATGTGAAACGATGCCATGAGAGTATCTACATCTTCATGAAGGCACGAGCGCTGATGCACAATGTGCCATTACGCCGTCCATGGAGCTTCCAGGTGGCGTAGTATCGTAAGCAGCACCTCGACACAAAACGCTTATTATGATAATGAAATACTCGAGGCTAGAGCTATCGATAGGAGAAGTCGGCTTAATACGAGCCAGTGCAGCAGACGAGGGGAGGAGAACCAGGTGGAGTGTCTCGATCTGCCAGCAAAAGCAACGGCTGATGCGGCGCACCCCATCGCAGCCGGAGAGACGACGCGCTCGGGATGTGCAAGAGGACGACAACATATTGTAAGCACCCATCGATAGTCTGATCTGATAGAGCAGAAAGAGCGCCAGTGTCAGTCAAGCTTCTTTGTTTGGCACGCCTCAATGATAGATGAACAAGGAAGGGTACATACTCGGCGACACGATAATTTGGCCTTAAATCAGGATGTGCGATGTTGCTGAAGAACTGTAACAGTTAAAATGAGGTAGGAGGCAAGTTGCGAGAAAGGCGAAACGCCAACGTGTTCCATGATTCATCTTGCGCTAGGCAGGGAGGTACTGGAGTAGGTTGGAGTGTCTCTCAAAATATACTGTTGACTCAGAGCGTAGAACTGTGCAGAGGCCGAAGTCGGATCAGAGAAAGTGATGGCACGATGAGGACGCAATGAGGAGCTGACGACAGCCATATACAGGAGGGTTGACAGACCCCAAGGAGGACGCTCTTCGGGTTTCTTAAAAGATAGGAGTGAGAGGGCTGCTTGGCGGCAAGAGACGGATTTCGAATCGCAACGACAACGAGCACATGGAAGGAAGGAAGGAAGGAAGGAAGGAAGGAAGGTAGATGAGTACCTTTCCATCGTGCAGCAGGCCCTGGTCCTATTACTGAGTGAGGTTGATCCCATAGAAGCGTATACTGCGGCGAGGTATAGGGGAAAATGGACCAACATTTCCCGGAGAGACTGCATGGGATGACTGAGAAGGTTTCAAGGGGAGGCTTGTAGTTAACTTGTGGTCGGCGCAGGAATGAGTAAGTAATCCGTCTTTTCAGAGGTTTTCAGCGGTATTGGTTCAGCAGTTCTGGGTAAAGATAGGATATACTTACAACGTCAGGCCACTACAGGCATTCAGTCGACAAGATGCACCCTATCAGGTCAGCACGAAAGAGCAGAGACATAACGTGGGGGAAGAGAACGAAAGCAAGCTATCGGTTGGCTATCGGTGCCACACGTGCTCCCACGGCCCATAAATGGAAAATTGTGGCGATTGCTCGTCGCGTGCTCATCGTCCTTCATCGTCGCGTTCGTCTTTGTGTTCGAACATCCACCATCTTCACAGCCGCTCATCATGTTCAAAATGCCGCTTTTCTCCAAGTATTCCCCCACTTTCCTGATTTAATGTGGATGTTTCTATACACAGTTCCATTCGATGTGTGGAGAGAGTCCTAGAGGCCGGTTGTTCCGAATCGCATTCGACATGTCAATCCAAGACCGGCTCAATTTCACCCGAACAGGATGGTCAGCCTGCCGTCGCTATACCAGTGAAATCTTCGCAGGCGCGTGGAGATGGCCTTCTCGTAAAAAGGAACTGTGACTGATTGAGAGATAACTCGAGGTATTCCGAATTCGACTGTCTATACAAGGCTGTCTTTACTCACTGACGCTTTCTTCCACCAATTGCATTTTAGAAACCACGGGCGTATCCTTCCCGGACCTGGACTATATAACCTCGATACATCTCCCCCACATTCCAACCAGAACTCTTCCACGTCAACCCCACCATTATTCCCTCATCAGCTCTTCAACATGGTCCTCAAGCTCTATGGAATGCCCGTATCTACCTGCACCAAGCGTGTAGCCACCGCACTCAAGGAGTTCAACGTTCCATACGAGCTCGTCGTCGTTGACCTAACCAAGGGCGCGCACAAGGCCCCGTCATTCACGGAGATCCAGCCGTTCGGACAGGTTCCCTACATCGTGCGTGACTTCGACTTGTTCTCTTCACTGTCGGTCTCCTTATCCCATCCCACCGTGCACGAGCTCCCACATCCTACATTTTTGCCTCTTCTCCCGTCGCTCCACCTTCGGTTATTCTCTTCCGCTCTCTTGGCACAGTCTATATGTCCCACACTCCGTTACACCCAGCTAGATGAGAGCTTCCCTTCCCTCTTCCGTCCACTCAGTTCACACTCATAACACTAACAACCTGATCTCGTTCTTCTCACCTCTCCGCATGTAGGACGACGACGGCTTCATCCTCTACGAATCCCGCGCCATCTGCCGTTACATCGCAGTCAAGTACGCCGCTCAAGGTCCCCAGCCTCCCCTCCTGCCCCCGACTACCGATCTCGCAAAGTACGCGAAGTTCGAGCAGGCCGTGAGCATCGAGATGCAGAACTTCGATCCGAGCGCGGCGAAGCTCGTTTTTGAGAAAGTGTTCAAGCCGTGCGTACCTTTTCTCTTTTCTATTGACGTTGTTTTATACCATGTCGTCTTCCCCTCCCGTTCATGGTGGTCTGATGTTTGTTTTCGTATGCTCGTGGTATCCTTGTTCTGTGCTCATTCCTGTCCAATTTCGTTCGCGACTCACCCCTGTATGATTTGATAGGTTCTTCGGAGGCACGCCGGATGACGCCGTCGCCGCGGAGCTGCTCAAAACTCTCGATGCGAAACTCGACGCGTACGAGACGATCTTGAGCAAGCAGAAGTACTTGGCCGGTGATGTGCGTACCTTTCCTTGGCCAAATGCTTCGTTCGCCGGATGCCTCGTCTTCCATCTACGACTAGTTTCTCACCTTGTCCATCCATCCATCAATCTACCGCTTTACACCCATCCCATTCGACTTTCCTCATCCCTTGACTGGTCATATCGGCATTTGGACAACACTGACCTTTCGTTCCGAACATCTATAGGACTACACCCTCGCGGATCTCTACCACCTCCCCTACGGCTACATGCTCGCCGCTGCTGGGTCCGATACTATGAGCAGAAGACCTAACGTTGGACGGTACGTCTCCTTCCTTCCGAAGTTTAACTCCTTGGACGTCTTCTCGAGAGTTTTCGGTGGTTCGGTCGGTGGGCCACACGCCACTTCGCTGTCTATTTGGTCCCTTCGTTCTTGTACTTCGGTATCCTCTACGTCGAAGTCTTCGGTTCCCCTCATTTTTGTATACCTTCTCATCATTCTTCATGTCCCGACCTTTTTCTCCCCATTCCTATACGGCGTACATTGGCTGACGACTGGACCTTTACCTCACTCTGTAGCTGGTGGAAGGATATCACATCCCGTCCGGGTTGGTTGGCCGTTCAGGACGGCGCCTGATCTGGATCTCCCGACCGGGCCTGTAACTGCGCTCCCTTCTCGATAAGGGTAGGTGTTGAATATGACATGTCGCAGCGGGTATTCGAGTGTGAGTGCGAGGGTGTGAGGGAGTACGATGTGCGGAAAGGCGATGTAAGATGCGTCGAATAGAATTTTGAAGTGAAGTGTTTTCTAGTCGCGTGTGGGCCCGTCGTCTGCGTCTATATGGTCGGCGCTCGGGGAACCTGGTCTTTGTTTAAATATGGCACATTATGGCTCATGCGCTCAGCAGGACTTGTGCTTGTGTGGTAGTCGGGTCAGGATTTGCGTTGTGGTGACGATATTCTCACTTTGGATGCTCATTGATGTGGTTCTGGTGCGCTGAGGACCGATGGTTTCGAACGAGGGTCTCTTTCGTTCAGCCAGGAGAGCAAGCTCTGCGGTAACGGTGATGGTCCACACCTGTACTAATGCTCTTACAGCTTATCATCCAATGATAATCCAAACATCTCGTTGGCTATGATCATCGTCGATATATGTTGCCAGTACGTCGCCTTAGCCTTGCCTTTATTCTCGGTCAACCCTCTTTCTCACTCAACTCGCAGACTGGAGGCCTAAGTCAGACGAGGTGAGTGTCGTTCTTGTGGCTAAGTGCGTCAACTATCTTGCCCATCTGATCGTTTCACTGGTCGTTTCTCGTGCATGGATTCAACAGCAGCGATGTACCCTGTACGAGCTTGATGTGCTCGTCGATAGCGAAGCTAGTGCTCCGTCCGATCGCCACATCAAGCCCAACGCCAAGGACAGCTAGCTACGAGCTACGACCTTGTTCATTGTCGGCACATCGCTTGGGGCGGCAACGGTCGCGATTGCGCATCACGCATTCCTTGCGCACGTCGACGGTCAGCCTATATATGCGAAAACCCAGTGTTGGATTCGAAATGGCAATAATGCACTCAGTATTACTGTTGTTAGGCGTCTCCTCCGCCTCTCGATCACGCTTGAGGGGGGTTGTTTTCGTCTTGTCTATCGGCATTTGTCAGTTCGTGAAGACTTCATGGTATGTTACTGCCTCGAAGGAGCACTACCTTGAAAAAGCACTACCAGGCACTTCGGGAACGGCAGTAACTGAGCACTATGACCCGAGAGGCCAAGTACTCTGCGGTTCATTTTGCCTCGTCTATCCGTATCCCGAAGGACAGTGATAGTCTTCATCTAAGGTCAGAGGAGGCGAGTGGCGCTGTTGGCGCCACATTCCGCGCCTCCGTCTCTTCCCACGGAGCCGGTTCTTCGCACTTTCTACGATCCTTCCTGGTTTCCGGCCCTTTCCACTTGCTTTTCACTCCTCTCGCTCCCTGCTGGTATAATCTCCATCGAATGATGCCAAATATCAGGCAGACTGAAGTCAACCTAACATTATCACATGGTACCCTGATCAGACTGCAGTCCTCTGATTATCTCATCTCGATGCCAAATTCATCAGGACGTGTCTCGCCTCCTTTCTCTCCACCCAGCTACCATCCATGTAGCGAGTTTCTATTGCCTGCCTCTACTGCTTCTCTGCGTCTGGGCCTGATGGCGTCTTCATCTTACTGGCGACATCGGTAAGCGCATCGGACGCACTAGGGATCCGAGGCTCTCTCGTTCCCATCATGTCGGAAGTACTGACGCCCTCAGCATGCCCGGCGAAGTGCTCAAGCATGCCGTGAGGAAGCGATACTTGCTTGGATGGCGAGGCTGTGGATTGGGAGTGCTGGTCCATAGACTCTGCGGTCGTATCTTCTGAGACAGTATGTGGATGACCAGGCGGCATTAGGGCGTCTGGACCAGGATCGACAGCGCTTGAGAACTGTCGTTCTTTCCATCTTCTATGTGGTCCATGGTGATCGTTGTCGACTTTACGATTCATTTTGTCTGAACTCGCTTGCATGTAGGTACGAGAAGACGAGGCGTGTCGTAGAGGGTGTGGGAAATAGAGGGTACGTTCGTAGAGACCGCATCTATTGCATACCTACATCAACCACGCACGTCGAAGTTCTTGTCAGCATCACCTTTTAACTATGCGGATTTGATAGATATAGGGCCACGAGAATATGGAGACATACAACTTTTCCTGGTTTCTTGACCGAGCGTCTCCAACTCGGAGGTGTGGTTGTCGCACAGTTGGAACATCTACGTCGTACTTGTTTGGTGGGTGTGACTTTCACGTCGTCGGTGTACGTGATTTTCGGTTGTTCGGGTTCCGATTCTTTCTGGTCGTGAGCAAAGTCAGCGTTTGTCCCGCTGGCTTTCGGTTCAGCACCGAAGATCTCCACGGGAATGAAGGTGGAGGCGCCGATGGAGAGGTGTTGTACGCTGGCTGTAGATGGATGCTCTGATCTCAGAATATACCGAAATCTCAGAGACTGGAGAACAACGTACGTTCAGGCATGATGCGTGAGTGCAGATGAGGTGACGTTGTTACAGTGTGAGGACGCAAGGGTGGGAAAGCGGTGGGGACGAAGGCCTCCCGCTGTTTATATACTCTATGGATCCTTATCTCATCACACGCTGTGAGCACAGCTCCGTGAATATCTACGGGTGATTGCGAGACGGCCCCTAACAAAGGCGAGAAAGGTAGCAACGTACATCACTCCATCGTGATCATTCTCAGGCCCAAGGTGAATGCCGATGCGGACCACTCTCGGGAGATGGACTCCGAAAATAAGTAAATGGCAGAAAGAGAACGTTTGAGGGCCAGATATAAATGAGCAGAACAGTTTAGTGATCAAGTCGTGACTTATTATAAGCCATGGGAGAACTTCGACGGGAATATTAACGATGAAGGTATAGCAAGCACTATCTTGACGGGCATCAGCACCCTTGTGTACGGGCAGAAATCTCTACAACGTGGCGCAGGACGATTAATTGCTTGATACAAAGTCGTAAGTACGTTGAACAAAGCAAGGATCTATAGTAGCGACGAGGTTCGTCCCAAGGAAAACAATACTAGTCTTTCGATAACCATGATTCCAAATCCTAAGTGATACGTCAACCCAAGAGATTCGACAAGGATTCTGCGTATCGATTGGGGTTGAGGTTCGGGCGAGGGTGATAAATAGGGCTCGGGTGTAGATTGAGGTATTTCCTCTTGCGTTGAAAGGGTTGGAATGTGGCGGCTATGGACAAGATGTACGAGGTGCGGATCTGGTGAAGGGTGCAGATCGAGATGTATCGCGGCATTGAAAAGTGTCGAGATCGATATACCGGGAATGACTTAGGTGCTAGCGCTGGCGAGGTGGATGACATGCTTTTGGACCCCCGGATGACGTATCTGCTAGCTGTTTCTTTTGCATACCACCATTTCTGCTCGTCTTCTAGACCGAAACCTCCTAGTAGAATATTCCGCCACATGCTCACGATACTCCGGACATCAATCAGACTGGGTTTGTGGACAGTAGCGTAGCGGTGGGGGTTGCGAAGGTGGAAGAGAAAGATGGGCGGAAATCGTCGTAGGGGGGCGTTAGAGGAAAGGGTGGCGCGGTATGAGGGAGGAGAAGCGTGGCGTGAGGGAGGAGAAGCATGGTCAAAGGATGAAGGGCGAGGACGAAATGGGTTCGATAGGTCCTAACGGACAACAGAACGTGGGTTTTGATGACGTTCGCTAACTGACACGGAGAAGCCAGATTCATGAAAATGAACAGTGATGTCCGAATGGCATAAGGCAAAAGGGGGTCTAAGGACGTACCGAGCGATGACCGTTTACTCCAGCTGGATAGAATTCGCTCATATCTCGTTCGGTAAACAAATCCTTCTCTGCTATCTCTCCTTGAATGCTAATCACCCCGACCATCGCACTCCGTCGGACCTATGCCTCGGATTTGCGATCTTACGGCCATTTCTCCTGATGGAGCAGATAATCTATGTGATTCTAATAGACGTTGAGCATGACGGTGAGTATGAAGGACGGGAAAGAATAAAAAAATACAATAGACTGGACAGTAACGAGAGTTGAACGAGAGGCGGAAAATTAATGGTTCGGGTGAATCGACTTCGGAATTCGTATAGAGGCAGACCGTCCCCATAGCAAGAGAAAGTGCGATACCATTAAGATCATTGCCCTCTACGACCAAACAGACTAGGCTCCTCGGGCAACTCAATTCCGGGGACCACAGGAAAAGGACGGTGGGCTAGCAGAAGAAATGACAGTGAGATAGCCTTCAAGACGACGAATGAGATGCAAGAGTGACTCACGTCGTGCACCATCAAGTAATAGCTCTACGAGGTCCTTACTTTCTTCCAGTGTAGTACTCGGGTCTTCGAGCCTCGCCAAGATCATGGAACTTTCATCCCGAGTGAGCAGGTCACTGTTACTCTCCGATCCACTGTCACTTCTCTCGTCATCGTCAGAATGCATGACGTCCATCGCCATCTGATCACTCCCAGACATACTACCAGGCGTCGCGCTGCCATCTTCATTCGCACTTGACGATGTGCATGGTACCTGTGAAGATACGCCTGTCTGACGGGGGAGGATAGGGACGCTTGGAACAGCTGTCGGGGGGAGTTCGACCGTGGAATTGGGCGGGCGGTAATAAATTAAGTCGTAGGCCTCGAGGGTTAGCTGCGCGAGCTCGAGCTGGCGGTCCGTCAAAGTAGCAAAACCATAGTCCTTCTCGTGATGCCGAAGCTTCAGACCCGCGTTGAGAATGAGAAGGAACGGGTTCACGTAGTTAAGTACGGTGTCTTTTCGGGAAGTGTAGGAAAAGGGAGGGTATGGCGCTGAGTCGGACGGGGAGCCTCTTTCGCGGAGTTCGCGGTCGATGACGGCCCAGTCGGCGTAGGTTGGCGGTTCAAGCGTTTTGAGCGCGACGAGATGCTGACCTCGCGGGAGGAAGAGCGCAGGATGGAGAAGGATGAGGTCGAACTTCGTATGGATCAGGGCGCGGTTGGACCACTGCAGAAACGATAGGACCGAGCTTGATGAGGTCTGATTTGAGTTTAAGATACGCACAGGAATAAACCGAGGACTGCTCGGGGCTGGGAGCGCCACCATTTTGTCCCACTTCAGGTTCGCCTCCCTCAAAATTTCGATCACCTCTTGCAGCGACTCCTTGCTTAGTGTAATGGCGTACGTGGTATATGATTCCAGGTGTCGGTGAAACGGTGGATACACTGGATCACATTAGCCAGACACATAAGGATTACGGTCTATAAAGGGGGAATGTCGTACAAAGAATCATATTCTCTAAGCTATCCAGCGTAAAGTCTCTAGTTCGGCGCACGATAGCCAGTACATTCGTCAAAAAATGGAACTGGAGGGCGAAGTAAAGACGGGTTGTTGGCGACGATGAGATTGAATGGAGCTCACCACGTCGCTCACTCGTTTGTTATCACTTTCATCATGAATCTCAGTCACTATGTGGACTGGTTCAAGAGAAAGACAAGAAAATCCAGTGATGAAGCAACCAATATCTCCCTCGAAGCGGGCTCTGTCCTCGTTAAAGGCCTTAGCAGTCCGGCTGTGAGATATTGTGGTCGACGTCGAGCCTTGTCCGGTTGGTGTTGGAGATGCGCGCCTGCGGGGAAGATCGTCCAAGGTAACACCAGGTGTTGTGGAATTTGGAAACTGGATTTGGCATATAGAGCGACATGAAATTATCCATAACTCTCGACATGATGAACAATGCACGCAGTGCTAGTGGAGGGCGACGAGAGGAGACGAATTTTGAAAAGCTGCTTCAACGCCTACGTAATCCGATTTTTGTCACGCCCCCGCGTCATCGTCCGCATCAGTGTTTGTGGAGCTTAGAGTCTACACTCGACGTGGTTGGTCTGCGGTATTCTCGTCGCATGGAAAAATCTGACAATATTTGAGAGAAATCTATAGCCTCAGTAGAAGAGCCGTCCTTGGAAGTGTTAGTGGCAAAAATACCCAGCCCATGCAGCGCCGTCTAGAAAACACCGCGTTGTGCAGAATCTAAGCTCCGCAAACTCTCTAAAGCTTCCTCCCGATACATATAAACACTGACAGCATCCTGTATTTCTGCACGCATATACTCGGGTACAAGACCATACGAAGGCAATATTCCCCTACATTTCAGAGCTCTGAACTTCCTCGATCCGTGGTCTGCTGCGAACGGAAAAGAGCATGCACCAATTCAACCTCGCTTTCAACTGTCATCTGCGCACGACTGAGTGACGTTTTCCTATGGAGGATGAACACACGTCAATTGAACTCGTATCTCACCAAGATGATAGAAGAAACCTGTCCATGCACCCATATTCCCGACCAAAGACCATGTTTGAGCATCCCTCCACAACAAGTTTCGCTTCCGACCTGGTGTATCCTGTGGCAAGTTTGGTTTCCCAGGCCATTACAGAGCAATCGTTCACTTTAACCGGATCTAGCGACCAGTATCCAAACCAAGGTGCGATTATCCCGACAGAGGGTAAGGGGTATTCGAAGAAATAGAGCACGGGAGGAAAGGTTGAAAGCTTTCCTTTCGATCCATGCTTGATGCCGTCGCCGTCAAACCTTGCGAAGCCGCGCAGAGTGGCATTGGTCACTGCGAGTAGTGCTTAAGAATGTAAGCTGCCTGAAATACATCTAGCATGCAGTCACGTACTAAGGCAAATCTTAGATGGAGGGATGTGTGCTTCTTTGGCGATATCGAAGGCATTCTCGTATAGGACGCGACGGCTCTGAGACCTTATTCTTCTGGCAACAGGAGCACGCTTCATAAAATTCAAGCTGTCTTCTGGACGGGGCTTATTGATTGTATATCTATTTTCATCCTCAATATTCCCCATTGTTGTCACCAATTTCGTAAAGGATAGTGTTCTCGAGGATCGGGCTCCCATGGAGTAGATTTTTGCCATAGGGTGCAGAGTTGACCCCGATATATATGTAGCACGGACGGGTGGACGTGGTCCTCGAGTGGCCACGATGGACTCTTCCTCTCGGTTTTTGTCCATAGCAGGGAATTTAATGCATGATACGGATTGGAAAGTTATGGCTAGCATTAAGCTGATGATGGCAAAGCTCGGTTCATAGACGTTTTTGGGGAGAACACCGTCGTCTCTGCTTTTGGGCTAGTCACTTCTATTTTTATCCGAAGGAGAAGGCCCATCGCGTTCTGCGTATGTAGGAGTTATAGGCGTGTTCGGGTCGAGTAGATGGTGGGTCGAGTAGATGGCATAACAGTCGCCGAGTGGGTCAACAAAAGTAGATCATCATAGTATGTGCGACCGGATTACAGTGGGCCACAGCGTCGAAACAGGACATCAACATCCCAAGTGCAGATCGTAAGACGAGCTCTGTGAGGCGCACAATACGGGCATGCAGTCCAATCATCGTGCATACGACTTAAAGACAGAGCATCGTCGCCGATGACATGTATAACAAGAAGCAGTGAGAGTGTCATGCAAGAACTTACCATGAAGTAAGAGAGGAGGCGTGTAGAGAGCCCAAGCTTGTCCGAAATATTCTTCAGCCTTCCACCAGTTGGATCGTTCGGAGAGCGTAGCTTTTAAGACCCCACATATATCGCGTTTTCGAAGCAGTGAAGGAGAGTGTGATCATGGTACCGTCTGAAGACATACAAACGCAAAGGTCAGCAGTGTAAGTACCGGACGGTGGTGAGGAAAGAGTGCGCACGATTAGTTGGCCATTCCATCCTTCATCTATAGTTTCACCAAGTAAAATGATCTTCCTGTCCTGTACGATACACGCAGGACTTGAAGACCGCAGGTTTCAGGAGTAGGTAAGTACTGAAGGACGACTGATCTCGATGATGTGACGAGGAGGAAAAGAAACGAAAATCAACATCCGTGACTGTCGCGATCGAGACGCGTCCCGTCACTTCTGTCACAATGTGACGTCACGCGCTATCGGTTAGCGACGCCACACGAAGTGCCACGGGCATTGTTAAAGAATCGAAACCACCATCACCTCAGAGCCAGAAAGCTCGTCGACTGGGACTCTCTGGGAAAATGACTTGCTACTGTTCTCGATCTGCTATTTTGTGACAACTCCGATTGAAGACAAGGTGTCAGAGCAGGCGAGCAAACTTGGAGAAACATCCGTATTCGACGGAGCTCTCGAAGTTGGATCTCGTTCGCCACTCCTTCCTATCGTCCCATATGGACCTGTTTTTGTTTCTGACACTAGGATATGCATCACGCTCTTCGCGATCGACTTGGATCGGCTCCAAGGTGCGTGTTCACGCTTTCGTTCTATCTGAACCGACTCTTCCCTTGGTCGCAAGATGGCCGTGGCTTTCGTCACCAGTTGTATCTCAACTCATTTCGAGACAGGCTTCTGGAGTGTTCTCTAGTGTTGACGGTATCCCGAGCCGAATGGCGTACCGACTATGGACACCGAGACGTTCACTGGCCGCGTCGACAGGTCGTGAGGCATTGCAATGAGTGCAGCTCCGCACCTCCGGATAGGTCTGTACGTGCTGATCTTGTTAACTTAATGTTATTGTGGCATGGGCTGAACTGGATGCAGGGTAATGAACGGTATGATAGGAGATGATGACATTGGATCTACAGGGCTATGCCTCGGAGCTCCTGACATAACAGCCATGCTATCCGTACCCAAAGCGATTCAAAGCGTAAGCAAAGCCCATCCGCTCGCGATTATCACGGTAAGTCCCAACAAAATTCATCATCATCCTGTGTATCTCCTATCCATCCCTTCCCGTTTGATGCTCGATATCAACGAACACATGTATCAGAAATGAAACCTTCGACGTAGATCATACTGCTGTAACACTTGAACGTCTTTGGGTTATCATCAGCATCTGAATTCCGCCGTCCACCATCCGTCTATCACTTCTCCGTGATCGTGATTATCAGCCTTCGAGGCGTTCATCCTGCCCCCTATCTATCTCTCATCGCCCCCAAGTCCGCCGGATGACGAACTTGAGCTATGCCCCACGCTTCCCCAGAGGCCATACTCCATTAGGACTCGACGGACGCAATGGTGCGGGTTGCGCTCTCCAGTGTGAGAGCGGCCGAGCCTACATATGTTCTCTCATAGAACCAAACCTAGCAGAGCCTCCGTGCGATGAAACCTTGTACACTCTTAGTAGGGACACAGCAGGTCTAATCTAGCTGCTGTATGACTCTGTAAAGTGCGTATTGTCTCGGATGCCGAGGAAAGGGTTGTTCTGCACAGCAGCGGGCGGGAAGTGAGCCGCTGGTATGTCAGGACAACCCTAGAACTAAGGACATGCGCACAGCTGTATTCGGGAGTATGAGCGTTGCGTTTGTGTCGAGGAAAGGACTCGGCGTCACTGAGACTGTCCGTGCATCAAGCACTGATGACCGGTCTTTAATTATCTCGCTAATTGAATACTCATCCATTGATGCCATCGTCGCTGGCTCAACCCATCTCGAAAACCCGATTGCCGAGCGTCGGTTTTGATACGGTCAACGTCTAACTTTAGGAAGAACGGGGCGCTTTGGCCTCAAGGCGCCCCGAGGAGAGCGTTCACCTGGGGGCAGAAATACCTCCCATCGCCCTGTGGCACGACCAGAGATCCTTCATCGGGACAATTCTTCCCATTGCCACACATCCAGTCTGGGATAAAGATCGCGCGTGCCGCCAATAGGTACACAAGGATACACACGAAGCCATCGCACTCGAGTCTCGCCGTCGTGTGTTCCGCACACGAATGAAACCCAAGTATCACGTTCCCGTCCACAAGTCAGATAGTTCCTTTCCTGTCCGTGATGGGTCCGCTCAACCTTTCCGTCATTGGGCCCATCTCCGACCGACCTCGTCAGATCCTCTCACTGATGCGAATGCTTTGCGATCTAGTCTAGAACTCGCATTGAAATGCCCATATGGCAGGCCCAACCCCGCCGTACGTCCACCCCCGCTCTCTCCCTGCCGTGCGATCATTGAATCAAATCCAGTGCCTCAACGCCCATGATGACCTTGTCGATCCCCATGTGGCCCGCGCACGCCGTGTTCCCCTTCCGCCATAGCGCAATCTGGCAACATCGTCCGATTCGCAGTCCGTTTCTTCTTTCCGCCCGAGGTCATTCACTTTCTCTTGTTCCGGAAGTACGTACATGTCTGCTTTTGTTGTTGTGTTTCGTTCCTGTGCATGCACTGTTCTTTCTCGCCATCATCATCAACTCCTCGAAATCATAGCCAACTGACCATCTCCGTATCGGACGTTAGACCTCCCCATCAGATTTCACAGGCAAACCAAACCAAACCAAACCCAAGCCCATCCTCGTCTTCCCATTCCTCGTCCTTATTTGATTCGTGGTCTTCTATGTTAGACCTCCAAGGATCGCGCGGTAAACAGGAATCCCGTCAATGACATTGAACCCTAACTTTAACTCCCTCTCTGTGACCGCAAACGCGCTGTCAATGATAGCGTTCATACCATACCATGCCCAATCCGGACGAAATCTGCGAGACAACAATATACATATGTGGCTGTATGGTTCCCCGTTCCGAGAGGAGAAGTCCCGTCAGTGGGTAGTGGCGCCACGAAGGGTGGGTCAAAGCGCGATCTGCACCCTAACGCAGGGATTGATGCTGTCAGTCACTACTGTTTCTGACGACTTCTTGACGCAACGATAGGTGTATGGACCTGGTGCGATGGAAGAAAGGCTAGCTTCTAGACTCGCATCATACAGCCGTGGCCGTGCGCATCCATCACGAAACAAATCCTTGGGCTGGGGATTCCCCGCAGCGCAGCGAACTGGGCGCTCTCAGACGTCGACGTCGTATGTACGTATACCACGCTGTAATCGGTATGTCGTTGTTGTTGTATGTATGAGCGTGATTATGTGGCTCTCGATTCATTGGACGATGACTGAACCAGAACCTCGTTATTCCCTTCCACTCAAACGGAACAGGTACATACAGGTACAATTGCAACTGGGACCGTGAAGCGCCGACGCAATGATTACAGCACCTTCCCTTCCTCGCCTGCCCGTCGAAGACGAAAAAAGAAAGAAAGAAAAACATCCGTCCACCTTCTTCTTCCTCCACCCTCCGACCACCGTAACTGACCTGACACGAACCCAAAAAATCCGCCTGCCTGAGAACCGTCGCCATCGTTTCCGGTTCCAGTCATCCTCAGTTCCTAAGCTCAACGAGCGCTCAGGACCCGTCACAACCACCTTCTATGTACCACTGATTGGAACATTCCTTTCGTCCTCCCCGACAGACGCCTTCTTCCTTCTCCGCTCTCCGCTCTGACACCTGAGGAAGTATAGTCTCGGCACACCCCGCGGCAGTCACCAATGCCTCTGAATCAATCGGAGCTCGTCTGGGTCCGGAACTTTCGCTTTCGAACCACTGGAGTTCTCCGTACCCTAGTATTCTCCGTTCACGACCGGGAGTTTTTCAACTTTGTTTGTTCTTGTTCTTGTTCTTTGGAATGGTCACCGGTGAACTTATGGTTGAGTTAAGAATCATGCTGAAACGGTTCGTAGGGTATGATGCCGACACTGGCATTTCGCTGGTATTCAGTTTGGGGGCGCGTGGTGTATGTATGTAGTGTCGAGACTGGATCCTATTTTCTTTTATGACATTGCATGCCGACATTGTGGGGCGCGTGGTGTACTATTAAGGATCGAGCCTGATACGTTTTTGGAGAGAACGGAAGGGACGGCGGCCGTCATTGACACGATGCACATTTCGAGCGGAGATACCATCGCGGGATTATAATCATCGACTGTACCACAAGGCCTCCACCTCCAATTGCAATCCGCCTCGTAAGAGTAACCCATTCGTCCACGTACTTTCCCCTACATACCTCAGGGCTTACTCTTCCCGAGCGGCACCGACCCGCTTTTTTGCCTTGTGCTCCCTTGTGCATGCAGTCGTGATTCAGAGCGTTCCGTCCAATGTCATCACTCATCACCCACGCATCAGCGGACGCCGAATCGGAACTTCAACGTACATTCTCTTTTGAACTTTCCTATCATAGATCTCCCACCGTGCATCATCTGAATCCCCGACCTTCCTTCCTTCCCCTACATACATACCTTCCAATTCCTTGGATACTTAGAGTGTGATTATGAACTCTGATGCCTGATGTGAGCTCTGATATCTGATGTTTATCCCCATCCGTCTGTCCATCCACCACGAACAAACATACACACTTGCAGTGATACAAACAGACGTACGCATCATGCAATCAATCCCATCCCATCCCATCCCATCCCATCGGACTCTAAACACCACATTCCACAGCATCAATATGCATCTGAATCCTTCCCAGTCCCGAGTCCACGCGGAGTTCTCAGTTCGTACTATACTGTCAGACTACAGTATCAGCGAATGCCAAATAGTTCAAATTCACATTTTCCCCATACCTCTCAAGGTAGGACTCAAGGCAAGGCAGCGTACATACATAATTTATGATACAAGAAAAAAAAACGAAAAAAGTCAGCATAGCGTACGGAGCGTAGCAGGACCTCTCAGATTTATACGGACGGGAGAAGGGAAGGCAGGGAAGGATGGGAGGGGTGGGTGGGATACAACTTTTCATTTCGAGGGTACTTCAGTCGCAGTCGGGCCACGACCATGGGACGGAGAACGAATCAGCAGCAAGAAAATCGGTAGTCAAGGTCAAGTGTCAGAGAAAGAAACGCAAAAAATGATAAAGAACCGAGCACGCGCACGAGCAAGAAACCGACGCATCGCCAGGAGCCAGGATAGGTTATAGCTGACAACGACGACGACGACGATGAGAGAGAAGAAAAAGAAAGAAGGGTATTCTGTATGTATCGTTACGTACCGCAGTGTACCTGTACGAGCAAAACCGAAGACGAGTCCATCGGGCGCGAGCGACACGTGATAGCTCTCGAGGAAGGTGAAAGACGAGACGGAAAGGAACATGAAAAGACAAGGCGGAAAGGAACATGAAAAGACAAAAAGAAAAGGAAAAAAAGGGGATGTATATCACAGATGATTGATAAAGATACCGTACCAGCGCCGCTGCATGCATGTACGCGACGGTCAGGGATCATAATCGTATCGATTGCTTTGACGAGGGACTCGGACGACGCAGGAATAAAAGAGTCTTTTATGTACGCACTGAGGCGAACGGGGGACAAGAAAGTAGACAGTAGCAGTAGCGCAGGATCGGAGGGGCGGGAGGGCAGGAGGGAGACTCTAAAAGTACACAAGAAAGAGACAGAGACGGCCGGATTGCGTTCATTGACGGACGGAGACGGAGACCAAAAAAAAACGAGAGCAGGAGAGCGAGGGAACGACGAACGACGAGCAGACGAGACCTGAAACACACCAAGCAAAACACGCACACGACCTTAAATATAGACAATCAAAAACGAACCCTGATCATCACGCCACGGACGGCCCCGGTCCATCCAATGATCGGAAGCGGAAGCATCCTCGATGCGCTCAAGGACTCCTCGTCCTAATCGACATCGGCGCCGCTGCAGCGACCTGCCGACTCCTCGACAACGGACTTCCCATTTCTCCCTCTACGACAGACCCACCACCTCCGCCATACCTCTCACGGTACTCCCGATCTCTGTCCCTGCCCTCCCTGACGCTCGGGCTGCGTAACCTCCCGTGTCGGTCCACGCCGCCCGCGGTACTCGTCGCTGGCGCGTCGAGCCACGAGTGGATCTGTGGGAGGGTGGTGTCGCTTACGGAGCGTCCGCGGCCAGAGGCGGAGGACGAGCCGTTGTTGTCGGACATGAGGGGAGGGATGGAGTTATGCGCGTATGAGGACGAGGAAGAAATTGAAGGAAGATGGTTGGAAGACATGGGTGGCGAATGCGCGCTGAGGTGTGGTGATGTGGATGCGAGAGAATGAGTTGGAGGGAGGATGGTACGATGGTTGGGGGGCGAGGGACGGCGGTGGGTGGTGGGCGAGTGAGAATGCGAGTGGGAGGAGTAGTGCGGGGAGGAGGAGTGGTGGTGCTGGAGGTGGGAGGGGTGGTTTGGATGGGCAGGGGAGGAGGGAGGGAGGACGCGGAGGGAGGTGGACGAGAGGGGACCGCGTTTGTGTGGGAACTGGTCGGGGCGAGGACGGGAATGGGTGCGCTCGAAGAGGCCACATTTGTTGCAGAGCTGTGAGTGCCCAAAAGCGGTGAGCGAAGAGAACAAAAACGATAGCGATGATGGTCACACGTACGACTTTACCGGGGTTGAGACTGGACCGCCTCCAGGTGGACGTGTCGGTGGTGGCACAATTGAAACACTTGCGGCGAACCCTATCGCTGAGCTTCGTGCTCGCGTCGTCGGTGTACATGATCTGGAAGCTCTGGGACTGCTGACCGGTGCCGACACCGCCGAAGGGATACATAGCCCCGTGCATACCGAGCCCGAGACCGGCCGAAGGAGCGGAGATCTGGGAGGGGACGACATGGGACGGAGGAGGGTAGACTTGGTGGGGCTGGACGCCGTGGTTGTTGGTGGAGTGGTAGCGGTGGGCGTCAGAGGGGTGAGAATAGTAGGCGTCATTGCCGTTTGAGGACGTAGGGGGAGGGGCGTTGCCGTGGAGGTAATACATCCTGGAGCTGCGTTCGGGCTGGTCGGCGTAGGAGGAGTACATTGCGCGTGCGGAGGGAGCGGGAGAGTCTACGGAGGACCTGTCGAGGGAGGAGGAGGAAAGCGAGGGGGACTGGGGGAGGGTTGCGATGGGGGGATGGGGAGAGGGGTGGATGTGGTGCTGGAGGAGGGACGAGTCTTCGCCGTGTCTGAAGAAGCTGTTGTGGCGTTAAGTAGGTGGATGAAATGGAAGAGGAGGACGGGATGGACGGGATGAGGGCGTCTATGGATGGAGTAAAGACTAACCTCTGGGCGAGGGAGACAGAGTCGGTGCGGTGGGGCATCGTCCGGATCGGTGGCAGTGTGTTGAACTCTTTCAACTGGGACAGAGTCTGGTCAGCGTCGGTCAGAGGAGAGGAAGAGGGAAGAGAGCACTCACAGTCGTAGTATTTGAATTAGAGACGTCGTTCTTCTTGCTCGGCGGCGGGGTCGAAGCGGAGTCTGGCTCGGTCTGCTTCCGACGGTAGAGCTCGGGCTCTGGTGAAGATGTCGCCCTTTGATGGCGATCGGGACTCGTGCGCGGCGCGGGACGCGATCGACTGATGGGATCGTCCAGACGGGGCGACCGACGCGTATTAGATGCAGATGCAGATGCGCTATAGCCTGCAGGCGACTCTGAACGCGTCCGGGCTCGTCGATGATGATGCTCTGGCTGATGGTGCGATGGTGCAGGCGAAGGGGATAGCGAGCCGCTGCTGCTGTTGTGGCTGCTGCTCGGCGGTGGTGGGGATGATGCGGGGAACGAGAAACGGGGGCGAAGGTGAGGAGATGTGGCGTAGAACAAGAGAGTGGCTTTAAAGGACGGGGAACGAGAGGCGAGCTTACTGCATGATGCCTTCGTCCGTTTTCGGTCGAGGCTGTCCCTCTAGGCGTTTCGTCTCTCCGTCAGTCGTGCGCGATCTGATCTGTCTCTAATTGGGATCCCAGGTGGCGGTTCGACGCGTTCGCTCGGTGGCGGGCACAGGCTGCCTGATGGACGGTCCTGATGATGGTCGACGCGGTGGAAAGAAAGCAAAGGAGAGCAGGCGCGAACGACAAGAGGCGAATGGCTGGCGGACCTGCAGAGCGTCCCTTGCATCCCCCGAACGCCCGGATAATTAAGCCCACCACTCAATCGCAATCCATGGAAGCTTACTACAGAATTCCATCCCGCAAAATCCGAAAAACACGACGCCACTCCCGCCGCCCGCCGGCATGTCCGCACCCGCACCCTGGCGCCCCCACTCCGTTTCACTCTCCGAGTCTCCGACCTCCGCGGCTTCCCGGATCACGCCGTCCCCGAGTCCTCCTCGTCGAATCGAATCCCAGTCGCTTTCCCCTTCCGCATCAATCAGCGTGCGTCCCAGCCTCAGTCTCCCTCCATTCGCACAAGAACGTTCGAAGAGAACGCACAGTCCAGATTCGGACGGCACCTTGCGATCTGATGATGGCCAGCCGAACAGCTTATCAGTCCAACCCTGCATGCCCCTCTTCTTTTCTGGGCCCTCTCACAGACTCTTTGACAGACGCGCGGACGGACCCACCACGCGGGCTCTCTCTTCTTCTCGTCCCTCTCCTTGCGCAATACTCTTTCATGTTCTCATGCTCCTCGGCATGTTCTATTCTCGCATCCGTGTGGGTATCCTCTGCTGCCTGCATGCACCCACCCAATCCTCATCACGCTGATCCGTCCCCAGAACTATGATCTGGATCACTGGCATGGCATAACACAAAAAAAAACCGCCCCCCTTCCATATCCGTATACTCGTTTTCTCATCCTCGCTTTTGTCGTGGTGAGTTGGTGGAGCACCGCTAACGCTCATGATCAATCCCGTTTTTAGGTTCTCGAATCAGTGATCCCGCGAACGTTTTGGGAACAATGGACGGTTCAGTGGCGATACCATACGATACGATAGGTGGGTGGGTGGGTAAGCTCGCCACTCCGTTCATGTTTATGTTTCTGTTTGTGTTTGCGCGGTGGTCGCTCTCCACCGCGGCCGCTGCTCCTCATGCTTGTGTCTGGATGCAGCTAAATCCAGATCCAAATCGAGACATCCCATTGCTCACTCCAGAGGTTACGACCGCTGCTTCAGCACCTCCGGTCTGTAGACTTCATCTATTGTGCTTCCATTGCATGCCAATAATGGTTCGCCACACGAGCCACTGACATACGAGCGCCCAGTCATCGTGATTCGTGGAGGATCAGAGGAATCACCCAAATTCCTGATCCACCACGCAATTGAGCGAAAGAGGAACTCGAGTGGCTGGAATGGGAAGGGGGATAGGGGCATTTTTGGGATGCTGTGATCAATCAATTAACAGTTTTCAATTATCGATGCAGAGCGGTTTGGACTAAGATCTGCAACGATTTCTCCCACCCTCGTCTGCATCGTAACCCATACGTGTCCCAGTGAGTGGGTTCTGGCCCCTTCACGTCGTCGCCACGCGCGGGCGAGTGATCGTTGGATCGTTGGGATTTGAGGCTTTGCATCATTTGCGGATGTGGGTGATGGAGGTGATGCTGGGATTGGATGGTACGGCCAGTGGGTGAGGGTGGGAGCTAAATGAACGGAACGGGATGTGTGACTAGACGAGACGGCACGGCACGCGATATCAGAATAAGGATCAGACACGGAGTCGGATTTGGATCCGTTTCTTTGTTATTTTCATTATGTTCGTTGATTTTCGGATTGGTGTTTGTGTTGGTTTGGTCTGCAATGTTGTGTTCGTTGATTGTCGTGCTGGTGCTGGTCGTGGTGGCGATCCTGGTGGTGGCGGAGATCCTATCTGGTGGTGGCGATCCTACTCGTTACACCGGTACCATACCAGACAGATCCCAGCAGTCGTCTGCACATCCATATTCAGCGCTACTCGTGTTCATTTTCGTACCTCCGGCGAAGCACAACCGACCACTGCTTCTGCTATAACTATTGTAGCAGATGGCTAGCCGAAACAGAACCACGATACGGATACGGATGGCTCTGATACTAGAATTAATGACGGTGGCACTGGCAGGAGGGCGCTGGACTACTTATGTACGCTTCTATCATGCCATTGTGATCCATGATGCATCAGATCCAGAACGTGGTTTTTGGACGGATGGGCGGTTCTGTGGGAGCTAGCTTCATTTTGTGGAAGAGGACGAAACGGATTTGTTTTTCATTATGATTTTCCGGTCGGTGTTGGTCTGGTATGTTGTGTTCGTTCATTGCCGTACTGGTCTCAATGGTCTCGATGGTCGCGGTGGTGATCCTACTTGGTGGTAGCGATCCTACTCGTTACACCGTACTGCACAAATCCCAGTCGTCTGTGCATCCATCGCTACTTGTATCCGGCGAAGCACAGCCGACTTCCTGTCCTGCTATAGCTAGCAGACCACTAGCCGAAACAGAACCATGATACGGATGGCTCTGATAATGGAATGACGGTGGCAGGAGAGCGCTGGTGGATTCAGATAGATTCAGATGCCACTATTGCTTACGCTTCTCTCATGCCATTGTGAGGCATCAGATCCAGAACGTGTTTCCTTGGACGGCCACCACTGTTCCCGCTTCATTTCGCGAGAGGACCAAACAGGGTGGCACCTCTGAACTAGAAACAAGACACGAGAAGCTGCGAGGAACTCAATAATAATACAGCTGTATGTTGCCTAACGCTGCGCTTCCGTATGTCGTCTCCGCGGAGATTGTCATCTTCTCGGTTTCTTCTTCCGCCACCGGCTCTTCTGAGTTCATGCATTCATGACCTGAGCAGTGATTCTCTTCTGGGGCGGCACGGCGGCTTTCTGAACCTATTTCTATGTTTGTCCAATCAAAATCAGAGAACGCTGGCTCATTTGGGTAGAGAGCTGTGAACAGCTTCTTCTCGCTCATCTCGGCGATGAATGTAGTATGCGGTGTGTCGTATATGAGATATGGGATACAGTATGGGATATGGCGACGGCGACGGCGAATCGGACGGACGGACATCAGCCTCCGACGTCCGTGTGCCGTTTCAATCTGATTCCGGACTGGGATTATCGTGATTCATGCTGTTCTTGTTCGTGCTTGCTTCCGTGCGCATAGCAAGCATCACAAAGAGAACATACTTAGGCAGACTAAGGCTGACTGGAACTTGGAACTTACAACGTGGAACTCACAGGTCTGATAGTATGACCGACGCGCCGGTGCTATGTACGATCTACGGCACAAAAACAAAATAAAACAAAGGACACCACTTGGCGAGCGCACTGCCAGAGCTCGGAGCCTGTGCAGCTCCTAGTGCTCAGTGCTGTGTACCACCGTCACGGTGTCG